CATCATCAAATATCACATCAGATCAGTAGACAAAACAACTAACAAGCAAGCTATATACAGAGAAACTATCAAAACAAAAACCATGCCTTTTAGACTGAGTGACACACACTTAAAAGGCTACCACTACCATAACCCAGCAGGCCTTACTACTGGACTGGACAAATTTGAACAAAGCAAGCTTAAGCAGCCATCGTCTCAGCTACATCAGATTCTCTCCCATCTCCCAGGTGACTAGTGATAGGATAACGGCCTTGGGTTGCACCTAGGAAGGTTCAGGTTTTCAAGACCACGATGCCAGTGGTTTACATCCTGGTTCTTACCACAGTGTTCCTGTTATCTCTGCATTAGTGCTATATCTTGCAGGTGTCAGGACTACTGGTTTGCGTAAGCAATTGCTTTATGTCTACAGTGTCAACCCCTGCCTCTTTTCTTCCTACCCTAGCAAATTCTTTTGCTATATAATTCCATTTCTGTTCTAGGGTCTTAGCAAAATATTTACCTTCCTCCACTCTCTGCTGCAGTCAATGCTTCTTCCACACTTCATAGCTATTCCCAGTTTGCCTACATCCTCACATAAGACATTTCAACATGAGGCAGACTATCAGACCCACGAAAATCAGAGGATCACAAACAGCTGTTTGATCCAGGCTAGGTTTGACAACCAGGAAGTTAGTTTCTCCCATAGCTTGGAGAACGCACTACCACAGGATGTGTCATTTTGGGTGACCAAATGTAGGGGTTTCACGTGATCCCAAATTCTTTTGATGTTAGTTTCCACTTGCTTGTGCTCATCAATATAGGTGCAACAACTGGTATTGATTAGGGTGCAACCCCCACTTCCCATATAAGCGATTAATATATCTAATGCCATTCTATTTTGGAGGACTACTTGCTTTAATGAATTTACGTAGCCTGCAAGTGCTTCAGCCATTGCATTTGCTATTATTTCCATTTCTGCTGAAATATTTACAATAGCTCTCTAGCTGGGCTACCCTCAGAGTAGTAATAAAAGCCTTTATAAAACTATGATATCCAGTATTATATCTTACCAAAGGGTTATCAACACCCGAGGTGCTTTAAAAATCCCATCTTGTGGAGCCAGATATCCTCCCATGCAATGTTCTTTCCAAAGATCAGGAAAAGACTTTCTGTCCCTACCATCTCCACACAGCCACCAGTATCCTGCTCCCAATTTGCACCGACTATGAAGCTATGGCACCTATGCAATTGGGATCTTCCCCTTCAAAAAGAGAACTGAAAAACTTCCCAGATCAGAGAATATTGTTGCAGGAACCCCAAACCTTGGAATTACTTCCTGCAGCAACACCTTGGTTATTTCTTTGGTTTTATTGGTCCTGCAGGGGAATGCTTCTGGCCACCCTGAAAAGGTATTGGTTAGTGCTAGCATATAATGAAACCCCCCTTTTCTTGGAATTTCCAAAAATCAATTTGCCACTGTTGCCCTGGAAGTTTCCCTTTCCCAATAGGCCCCACTTGTACCCTGTTTCTGGTACCAGGATCATACAATTACTTTGTTCAAATATTTATGAGTGCCTGTTTCCCCAGTATGTTTTATTACGTTCCCTCAGAATCACTAAAGGGTACAACAACGTGTCTATTTGGGTATGCAGCCATCTGTCAGCTTGCTCCCTTCCCTTTTAAATCATTAATTAGATTCCTATCCTGTCTAGAATACTTTACAGGTTCTGACTCAGGTTAAAAGACTTAAAGTTTACAAGCCAGTTCACTAATTTTTTTCCCTTCAGCTGCCTGTTTTGCCACCTGATCCACCATCTTATTTCCAATTTCCTGTGTAGTGTTACCTTTCTGATGTCCTCTACAATGTATAATAGCCATGCTCTTTGGTAGATTTACATCATGCTGAATTTGTTTTCCATGTGTGTGAGCAATCCTTGCACTTTCCAGATGGTACCATGAGTGTGTATCACCCCAAATGCATATTTAGCATCTGTCCACATATTTAAGGCTCTTGTCAAGGCAATTATTTCAGCCTTCGGAGCAGAATTCCCCACAGGTAATGGTTTTGTCCTTGTCTCACAAAATTGCTTCCATCGATGAATCCAGGAATTGCCAGCATCATTCAATGATTCCTCCTGTAGGTCTGGCTGACTGGCATAGACAGTCTCCAAGCAGCCATGCACTCCTGGCTCTGAGGTAGCTCCACATCGGTGCCCTTGGTGCTCAGCAAAATGATTTCTTCCTTCTGGATTTCTGTTGAGAAACTTGATAACCATTTAAACCAAGAAATTCAGCAAACTCGCAGTCCACTGAACACAGTCCTCTTTTTGTTACTGTGGCATCCACATACTGCAGCAAAGTTCCATGTTGGGTGGAGGAACCCAGTCTCAGGCTCATGAGCTGACTGGTTCTCAAAAATCACTGGGCTGTTCTCACAACCCTGGGTAAAACTGTCCAGGTTGAGTCTTTCCTCTCCATACTGGGGTTTTCCTACTCAAAGGCAAATAACTTCAGACTTTCTTTGGCAAAATCAGTCAGAACAAGGCATGCTTCAAATCCAGAACAGTAAACCCCACCTACTCATTCCTTACTTTGGTTAATAAAGTGTAAGGATTTGCCACCACTACATGTATATTTTCAACAATTCTATTAATTGACCTCAAATCTTGTACCAAATCATAGCTCTTGCTGTCCAATTTTCACTGTCAAGACTAGGGTGTTGCATCAATTAATAATCCGAACTCCAAAAAGTTTCTATTATTTCTTTTATCTTTCTACAGTCTTGTATCCTTAGAGGTGCACTGCTTTACCCTGATGGGGCTGGCTCCCGCTTTTAACTTAACTTCTATTGGGGCTGCATTTTTGGTTCTACCAGGCGTCGCCAATGCCTACACACCTGGGTGTAAACAATTCAAGATTTCTTTAACTTCTGGGGGTACAACATTGGGGTTTTTTTCCCAGTTTGGGAAACTTCCCAGGTTCCGTCATTCCGTCTTTCAGCTTTTGCAATCAGAGATGGTTCCCTTCCCCCTCAGCTTGAGACAGCTTCTCCACCAATGTCCCATTTCCCTGTTATTTGCACACTGCTTTCAGTGCAGTGGAGGCAGAACCCTCCCTGGGTCCTTCCAGGCACCCTGTACCTCTTCCCCAAGGGGGTCTCTGGGTCCTCGGGCCCTGATTTAGCGCAGCAACAGTAGCAACTGCTATTGTTCTTCCCAGTTTCTTTCTTTCATTAATATCCTCAATCAGATTTTTCCAGATCCCTCACCTCTATTCTCGGTCCTTACATCCCTGTTACATCTTGTTCATCTCTGCCTTCCTCAACCTGTGCTTTTTCCAAATCTTTTTTTCCTCCCTTCTCTCTTCCCCCCCCCTACTTTCCAAACTTTCATAATTACAAACACTACTACATATTTCAGTTTCACCTTTACCCCCCTCCCATTTGTAAGTAACACACTGTCTACTTCTTCTACCTCTTGCTATGGGGGTGTTCTCATGCCAGCATCTACCTGCCTTGGCCAGTGCAGATCACAAACTCTAATATCTCAAACTCACTGTTATTCCTTAAGTCTTTCGCCATTTTTTCCCCAATTCCACTACTCGTACCCTCAATTACACTTCCATATACCATTAAAACATTTTGTCCCACTCCCTTCAAGACCCACGAGTCAAGCAATACAGTTCTTCAATTTCTACAAACATTGAGCACTTGGTCTGACAATTAGAATGATGATAACTGGTCCCATTACTTCATTTATATTCCTGGTTTCTTACTCAATATTCCCTGCACTTCTACACCTCCTGTAGGACATCTCCTCATGACTTACAGATTCCCCTCCAATCTAAACCTACCTGGTCCGCTGATAGTTCTTGTGTGTTCCTACAGTGTTCAGGTTAGGGGAGGGAGTATTTCTGAGAAATCTTGGGGTGTGCCCATGGGGTCCCCTCCCTCCAGCTGGTCCCACAGCCGAACAGAGTGCCTCCTTCCTGGCTTGCCAAAATTGATGTGTGGAATCAAACTCTATAACCCACATAAGGTTATAAAGCAGGTATGTTTATTATGGCACCAGGTGCGAGGGGAATTGCTCCTCAGAACTTGCACATCAAACCGCCTATTCATCACCTATTTAATACACAAAATCATACATTTGCATAAGATTACACAAAAGGTGGATTGAGCTTGCTTAAAGAGTCCCAATAACTCATCATAATATTTCTATTAGTTCGGGGAAATCATTATACTATGTCCCACCTCTGTGCATATGCATGCTGCTCTCTGGTCATCCTGGGCAGGGGTCTCCTCCAAATCTTCCTCATGAAGGCTTCCTGGTGTACTTCTCACCTTTGCTCAGTGGTTTTTGAGACCACAGTGCCAGTGCTGACTGGTTTACATCCTGGTTCTTACTACAAGGTTCTTGTTGTGTCTGCATACGTGCTATGGTCTTGCAGGTGTCAGACCAATGGTTTGCATAAGCGATTTTGCTTTATGCCTACGTGTCAACATGGTTATTGAAAATGGTGGTGACTGGGTTGACAGTTGGACTGGATGATCCGAGAAGTCTTTTCCAATCTTAATGATTCTGTAATGCGCCTCACCGACAGATTTTGTTACATTCCCTGCCACACTTTGTCCACGCAGAACTGCAAAGATGGCAGGCTTGGGCTCCTAATTATTGCCCTTCCTCACCTTCTCACTCTCAGAGGTTTAATTAGCAGGAATTTGGCTTAGTTTACCAGTACTTTGATCATTTATTTCTTTCCTCACAGTAATTACGCTAGCCTGAACCCAAAAAGGTAACTAAAAGTTGTTTCTAAAATAACAAAACATTACAAATCTTCATTGAGACTTCAGAAAGTAACTCAGTTGACAATTTTCCCTAAGTAAGAACCAAACAAACCATAAGACAGCTTCTCATATAACAACCGCATTTGTCTTGTGAAGCATCTCCAGTACTGCGCTCAGCTGGCACTCTTCTGGGAGCGACTTTTTACACAATCTGATTGTGACAGGAGAAGGCTGAATGGCGTAAAACTACAAGAGGAGAGACTGAGGTGAGGGAATTTTTCACTCAGAGCGGTGAGGAGCTGGCAGTGCTGCCCAGAGCTGCGGGTGCCCCATTCCTGGAGGTGCTCTGGGCAGCCTGAGCACACTGGGCAGGAGTGGGGCTCAATGATCTTTTAGGCCCCTTCCAACCCCACCACTCTGCGGTTCTATGGTTCCCTCTGCTTCGCTAACAGTTTTATTTGTGGTACGCTTCAGCGTTAATAATGACGCGCCCGCTCAGGACGAGCCGCTGGGCGGTGCTACGTGCGGCCCGCCGGACCCTGCGTTCGCTGCCGGGTTGTGGGAGTGCCATGGCGGCTGTGCAGGACGTGGAGATCGATCCTGACGGCACGTTCAAGTACATCCTGGTGCGGCTGCAACGGCCTGGCGGCGGGGAGCAGCGCGACATCGTGCGCGGCACCAAGGCGGCCGAGTTCCACAGTGCGTGGCGGGCGGGAGCGGGGCTCTGAGGCGGGGAGCGCCGTGCGTGCCGGCTCCTCTCTCACCCGCCATTTCCAAGCGCCACAAACCGCGTTTAGCCCACTGAGCTCGCCATACAGTCTTAATTACTGCTCACGAGAGAAACCCCCCTTCGGCACGGAGGGAAAATTGGTTGCAAATAGCTGACGGTTCGATGATAGGGTTCTGATGGCTCTGTTCTCCTTGCGCAGATCACATCTTTGAGAAAGTAAATCCTGAGATGGAGAAGCTGGGATACGAGTGCAAGTGCCTTGGAGGAGGGAAAATTGATCATAATAGCAAAGAGAAGAAAATTAGGGTGTTTGGGCTGTCTACAGTAAGTGCCTCTTGTATTCCTTTCCATCTCCGTTGTTCTGGGCGTTTTGTTTTATAGTAAATAAGTGTGGTAACGAATCAGAGCATAAATGTTCTCTGGGAATCTTGCCTGGTTCCCTTGTGGGAAAAACACTTCTTTAAGGGCAGGAGACCAAAGCCAAAGGAGCAGATAAAGTGGAACGATAACGACAAACAAGGCTAAAAGTGGAAATCAGCGTTTCCTGGCTCACGGACTTAGTGACAGAGCAGGAATAGCCTCTTTATAGCCTCTTTATAGCCACAGGGTCACGATTCAGCTGGAGTGTGATCTTTGTCTATGGAAATGTTGGCTGGCAGTTGACCAGCTGGGTTGTGAATAGTCTGTGCGTGTGAGAAGGGCACACTCAGTGTAGGTGGGGTGGGTTTTCAGTGGGTGAAGATACAGCTGTGCACACATCTGTTTTTTGAGAATAGAAGTGGCTCTGAGTGTGGAAACCTGAGCGTTGCTGTTCTGTGCAAGTTACTGAGTCTTCTCATAAAGAAACTGAAGTGGTAATTTCTTGAATTTAGGGAACATACCGTTGTCTGTTTCTTGTGTCGCTCTGTGATGACGTATGGCTGCTTCTGTAGTAATGCTGTGAGCAAAGGTTCTTTGAATTTAATGTAGATGGGAACAAAATAGTCATCACTTCATGTTAAAAAAAATTCAGTTGATTTAATAGAACTATTTCAAATCTGCTAGCCTTAACCTGATAACACATTCAAGGCATAGTCCCTATTTTTAACTGTTGTTAAATGTCATTGTTGCTTTTCTTCTAAGATGGCAAGAAGGAATGGTTTTAAAAGAAGGAAGATACAGATTAGGTTTTAGGAAAAAGTTCTTCATGCAAAGGGTGATGAGGTGCTGGGACAGGCTGCCCAGAGAAGCTGTGGGTGCTCCATCCCTGGAAGTGCCCAAGGCCAGGCTGAATGGAGCCCTGGGCAGCCTGATCTGTGAGGGTAACTGGCCCATGGCAGGGATTGGAACTGGATGGGCTTTGTGGTCCCTTCCAACACAAGCCATTCCATGGTTCTCAGATCTGCTATCTCTGTGTCTCTGGCTCTTCCATTTCAGCTCTTGCTCTTTCTGTGATTCTTTGACTCTTGCCAGCTGGAATCATGCGAAAAAACTCAGCACCTTAGGAGTTTGCTTGGGAAAGAAGACAGTGGATAACACTTGCTCTACTCAAGTCTCTTGATTGTGAGCACCTATCATCATTGTATTATTAGATGAGGTTTGCCACCTGCATTACTAATTTAGCTGCCAATTTATGTTAGGAGGCATCAGTCAGCTCTTGAAACACACTGCCTATGGAAAGTGCTTTTTTTTTTTTTTTTGTAATTCCTTTAGGTACCTTGAAACATACAGATGAGCACAAGGTGAAAGCAGAGGTTCTACTACTAGGAGGGCATCTGTTGAGTAGAGACCTGGAGATTTGAAAGACTTCAGCTGTAGGTCAGAAGTTGGTATATAAATCATTTTGATGCTTTTCTTCACTTGGAGATTTGCTGTCAGACTCTAAAAGAAGATTGTCTTTTTTTTTTTTTTTTAAATGAAGACCAAAGAAACAGATTTCTTTTGAAGTAGATGCTGTGCTGTTATTTGCAAAGCTGAATGGGGGTCTTCAAAGCAGTTACCAAAGCAGGAGTGATCTGTAGAATTGTGATTTAAAATGAAAAGTATAAAGCAGTAGTATTTTTTTTTTTTTTTTAATAGCTCCATTATCTGGTAGTTTGAAGAGTTTGATGCATTTTCTAATGCTTCAATTCAATTTGTGCAGCTTAAATGCTAGTTTACTTAAGCTATTCCTTCTGAGATAGAGCCAGTAATGAATTATTGTGTTTTGTATGAATCGCTCAAGCAATCTTGAGGTTCTTTCAGTCTCCTGAGTTAAATGGGCTTCGCTGAATATTACTGAAAAAGGCAGTAAGGTGGAAATAACAGGTTTTTATCAGAAGACTGAAGTCTTTGACAGGTGACAAACTTATTTGTAGTTCTGAAATAAGAAATCAAGATTAGTAACTTCAGGCAGTCAAAACAATGGAAGTGCTCCTTCTATCACAACTCTTAAATTTCAGTGAAAGACTGAAACTGTGATCAATGATTTAAAGAGAGTTAAAAATGAGATAAATCATCTGATGTTGCTTTAGTTTGGAGTTGTAGTGGCTGATGATTATTTGTGTATGAAATTATGCCAGAGAGATAGCATGTAAAGACTCTGGTCACTTTGGTGACTGGAATAGCACTCAGATGTTCACACATGGCTTCCTGTTCTGTTTTCCTTCAGCTGAGCTACAGCAGATAATTGTATGCTCGTATGTTGATGTGGGTCAATACAGTCTGTAGTTTAAAAAGAACATTCAGTAAATAGAGTGGGTGAGGGGTTGGGAGTGTTTTAAAGTAAGCTTTTTGTTAGAGAAATTGTGGTGTATAAAATGCATCCTGTTACTGGAGATTGACTCATTTCTTTTCTGCAAATTGGGTTGGGGGAAATTGGAGATGATAATAGAAAAATGAAGTGCTGTCCTGCAAGAGCAACTTTTTTTTTTTTTTTTTTTTTTTAAGAACGTGCATTTATTTCTAATTTTTATTTGAGCTACCTACAGTATCAAACTGTTACTGAATAACTTGTGTTGACAGCAATTGAATGGTCCTGTGGAGTTGCTTTCTGCACTTGTCTAATAAACTCTTGCTCTTTCTTGCAGGGCTATGGAAAAGCAGATCATTCGGTGACTGTAGAGATACTGAAAAAAGTGTACACAGATTATGAAATCACATGGTCAGATGACAAGAAATAAAATGGCTACTTATAAATGTGACAAGCAGTTCAAATCTGGAAACTTTCTGTGAGTTGTGCTTCAATAAATAGAATGGAATGTATGTTATCATGAACCCGGAATACTGGACTCTCCTTTAATTTATTGTACAGTTAAGTAATCCCCAGGTATCTCTTAATTTGCAGATCGTTGCTTTGTGCAAAATTTTGACTTCAGAAAGTGATTGTATGCCTGGTACCTAGTAACCAAGAATAGCATGCAAGTCACTAATCTGCAGCTTGAGCACTTCCCAGTTCTATTTTCCTCTGGGCTTTTTTTCCCCTAACATTCAGTGAAATAACTGCAACGGATGCTTTTAGTTGGTGCCAGTATACAAAATGGATTTTTTTTGGCGTTGTCCTTTCCCAAAACCATCAGATGGTCTTCAGGAGGAAGTCATCAGCTAAGGGTAGCGCATGTTAAAATAAACAGGCTTTTTAATTTAATTTCCTGAAACACTCTATGACAGACTTTAATGTTTCCCACTACAGTACTTACGAGAAAGACATAATTTATACAGGATTTCTTACTGCAGTGACTCTCTCAAAAGGATTGGGGATGTGGGCAAGGGGAGAAAAGGAGAGACTTGAGCTGAAGATTGAGTTGTCAGCTGACCTCTTTATTTCATAATAAAGAAATTGGGCTTGATACAATGGTTTACATATTAACTGTTTAAGTCTTACAAGTAAGTGGAAGATTTTTTTTTTAATTCCAGATCATGAAAAGAAGCAGGAAACTGGTCACAAGGGTGGAGATGATTTAGCAAGTAGAAAAGTCTTACTGGCTTTCCTAATCTAGGAACAACATTTTTACTGATGCTGAAACAGCAATAGAACAATGAACTCACAAAATTAAGTGTTGAATTCTGCTTCCTCTCAGTGTGTCTGCTGATTTCTAAAAGCAGAGTAGAATTCATCGGGAGTTATGGAAATCTCAGGGTTGATTTCACCTGAGAAAAATACCCTATACTGATTCTCTTATCATTCTAAAATGGGAACTTAATTACAATGTGTTGGGATTCTTTTTTTTTTGTAGGTGTGCAATCACTGTGTGATTGTGGCTCTAGCAGTCTTCACCTGAAACCCCTAAAAATCTGATTCTGCATTTGCATGAAAACTGAGCTGCTTGAGCAATCCATGAATAAAATGAGGATGCTGAACAATGGAATGTTATTAAACCTGAAACAGGGTGAGTTTGATCAAGGAATATTTTAAAGAGGAAGCATTATAACTTAAGATTTTAAGTGCCTTCTTTATTCATTATAAATACGTGAGATTCTTGTCTTAACTATATTCATTGTTACAGGAAGTCAAGATTTTTTTTTTTGTTGCTTCAGGTGCCATTCTCTGTAACAGCACCTAGCAGGTGGCCAGTCAGTAAGTGCCAGCAATGATTTGTCTTCAGGCTGAGGTATATAAAATAGCAAGTAGTAGTGGTGTTCCAATTTCCCATTTTTGACAAAGAACTGTTAACAGTACTTCACTGCGCTGTGCCAGAGCTAAATTTTTGTTGTTGTTGTTCCCCTGTTCACAGTCAGCATTTGTCTGTCTTTGGCAGGTTGCAGTGCAATCACAGCCTTAGCATCAAGTGACTGCTTTTTTCCTCTCTGCTATTAGAGAGCACTTCAGTAGTGTCCTAAGCATCCATTTAAGTAGTCTACTTATTTTTGTTCCATAAACAATTCTAGTTAAGACTCTTCAAGTATGGGAAATCCTCTATGGCTATCTTAATAGCAACATGGTCAAAATAGGAACCTTGCAGTTGGCTTTCATACGCAGAAATGACAGGAACTTACGTAACACTATGTGATTGAAATCACTGTTGTAGTATTTTCTTTTCCATCTTCTCAGATTGTCTTTTCTGCCTTGAGTTTATACGGTCTCCCTATACCCAGTTTACTGTAATGGTTGACAGTCTCTAAGTTTTTATTTTTGCAAGGACACCCAAAGCATTGCAGCAGTAAAGCAGCATGTGCTGACAAGAAGTAAGATTGATGTACCTGGTACAGTTGTGTAATAGCTTTCTGTCCAAAATAATTATAGTGTTATTTTCTTTGTGATTTGTTGGTGATTCCAAACACTTGGGACGGATTTTGTAGTTCTCTAGTTTTGTTTGCAGTTTTTCTTACAGTAATTTCTTGAGCAACATCATCTTGTCCCACTGTGAGCATCTTCAGCCTAGGGCACAGAAGAGTGACTTGTAAGCAGACTTTTCTGAAAGTTTGCTGCCCTGCCCCATGCTTAGAAGATTGAAGAGTTATGATAGCGTTCAGCAGTGCCCCCAGCAGCCTGAAATTACAGTAATGGAAGAAGGCAAGTTTGGAAAATGGGCCATAGCATGTGGGCAGTTAGTATCTGTGAAGGTCTTACAAAAGAAAGTAGTACAGATGGTTAGAATACAAGCAATAAATACAATCACATCCCCCTCTGGTGGCAAAGCAGCAGAACACACAGGTATGCAGCTGATTCTGAAATTTGTTGCTGCAGTTGAATCATAGCTAAGATGGGAGCCTGGCCCTTAAGAACTACTTGCACTATATCAGGGAGCTAAATGATCGCCCTCAGGCTGTGCTGGCACTGCCAAGGAATGTGAGAGGGAGGCTGGGAACAGTGACTTGCTTTATTTTTAAACACATACAAGTAACAAAATGGGCTGAAGAGATGATACTTTATGCAGAACTATACTTTTCTACCAGAATCAGAAAAGTCCTTCACTTCCAGTCAAGCATCAGAATTTGTCAAACAGTTCAGTAGCTAGAAAAGAACAGCATTAACTCATCCATTTTGAATAACCCAGTAAAATTTTAAAAAATACACACTAGTTTGTCTGTATCAAGATAATTTTGGAGCACTGCTGGAATTATGTTAAGTGGAATCTTTAAAGGCTATTTCCAAAATAAAGCGCTTTAGCCCTTCCTCAACTTCTTTCACTATGCTGCTCCTAAACACCTTCCTCTCCTCAAGGAATTTTTCAAAGAGGTAGGTACCCCCACCGACCCCAAAATAATGCACTTTGCTTGCCAAATACACACGGCCATTTTTAGCCAATAGCTGAGCCAGCGTATCATGCAAAGCACTGTAATAGTCGGGGTTATAGATGGTCTCAGATGTGAGAATTAGATCATATTTTGAACAGGGCTTGCTGCTGCTTAACAGGAGCTGGCTGATTTCAGACCACCCTCCAGAGAAAAACCTGCACTTGGTGAGCTTGTCAGGTAGGCACTCTGATTTCTTGCGCCTCTTTGAAGGAGGTTTAATATTCTTTCTGTTATCTTCACTGTCTGCCTTATTGCCATCATTTATACAGTTAGCCACCACGTTAGGCATGGTTATTTCCTCAATCACCGTGCTGTTGTAGTCCTGAAAGTGGACTTTCTCAGCATTTCCCCTTAAGGCAACTATTCCCAGCAGTCCAGCCCCGCACCCAAGGTCCAGCACTGTCTTGTTGGCAAACTGGATTTTAATTTCAGAAAGGAAATCCATCAGATCGTAGGTGCACTCCCAGATTTTCAGTCCTCCCTCATAGACTCCTGGGATGAGATCAGAGTGAGAAGAAACACTTTTTGACACAATATCTTCTTCGTGCCTGCCATCTTGGCATGTCAATTCCACAACAGACGTATTTACATAGTACAGTCCTGATACTGTTTCCAGGACTTTATTTTCCAGTACCTTACTGACATCTGCAGGGATATAGTGCTCCTTGGCAGCTTTGATGCAGGCTTTTTTCTCGGGCAGCCTCATCTCTTGGTGCTCATGTGTTGGAGAACAGGGCTCTGTCTCATTGTGAGCGTTGGGCTCTTTGCTTCCATCTTCATCAGGAAAAAAATTAAATCGAAAATCCATTCTCAGGAATAACAGACTGGGAAGTCGCAGCCAGAAGTACTCATCTAAAAGCAGCGCTGATTTCTCTTTTATTTCTCTTTTGGAGGATGTTTTCAGGCACTTATCGCTGTGGGAACGAGCGCTCGGTGGGCAGCATACCCGCTGCTTTGCCAATGAATCAGGCGAATGATTCCTGCAAACAGAGCAAGCATCTTTACGCAGTACCAAACTGCCAGAACGCTAGCAAACTGATAGCGACATCCTAATTTTCTCTTTTTTTAAAAGAGAGGACAGCTTCTAAACGCATTTTAAGCACCCGCTTCCCCCGGCGCCCGCTCCCTATACCCACCGCGGGCTGCAGCGCTCAGTCCCCCTCCGCCTGGCACACGTGGTTGGGCTTCCGCTTCCATCTGCGCATGCGCACCGCTGGGAAAAAAAGGGGGCGTAGAATACGTACGGAGCGGCCCCGCGGCCGCAGAGGCTGCTGGGAGCGCGGCGCCGAGTTAAGTTTTCCCGCCACCGCTGAGGGGAGCGGAGCGCGTGCCATGTCCCAGACCGACCCCGAGCTGCTCCTGCGGGAGCTGGGCGGCTGGGACTGGGAGCTGTGCCGCAGGGAGCTGCCCGTCGTCCTGCCCCGGCTCCTCATATCCTTCCTGAGGGGTGGGAGGAGGGCGGGACTGCCGTGGGGGGAGCCGGGGGAACCCACACGGGGTACCCCGAGATGGCGGGGCTGCCATGCGCAGTTGAAGCATGGAAGCCTGTGGGTGGGTGCGGGGTTCCGCTGGAAGCGAGTGCTGAACTTCGCCAACATAAAAGGCAAGAAATAGCGTGTGGCTCCTGGAGCGCTTTTAATAACTGCCTCTGTTCCTTCCCACCCCCCCAAAAAAAATTTAAAAAAAAAATCACGACATACAAAGCACGCTCCCAGAACATAGGAGTGTTCTGATTTGTGGGTGCTGAGCAGCTGTGCTGGTTGTGGAGCATCACTTTGGTTTGTGGGGTGTGCAGCCCACACAGGGCAGAAGCCGCAGCTGCTTCTGCTGATGCCTTAATCCAGTCTTACTGCAGAACCTGAGTTTCCTTAACGCTTTTACTCTATGTATCAAGAGTCCGAAGACTGGACTGAACACATCCGTAAGTAGCAGCCAGCTGGTTGCCTTTATGCTAAGGCTTACTGCGTTGCACTTACATTATAAGTTCTGCATGAGTTAATGAGATCTGCCCTCACCTATGACTCTTCTGACCTGAGCAATCCCGCACCTTGTGTGTTACAGGAATCACACACTGGATACGTTTCATAAAATCTCATAAGCTGTGCATGTAAGGCTGCTTTTTCCTTGCATCTATTTGTGATTTTTAGGCTCTTGAAAGAGGGGGTGATACCTTTCGTGGTGTTGGCTGTTATCTCACAGATAGTCGAACCCTATGAGCTACTCCTGTGATACCTGAGAATGATCAAGAAATGTTGAGATGCAGCTGCTTAGGACTCTTGCTAACATTCACAGCTCAGCTGTGTGTCAGTGTTAGCCAGCACATCAAACTGTTGTGATTGTACCTGAGATTAAGAATATGGAAATTTCCTAGTTGCATCTAGGTGCTAGGTTATGGATAAACAACTGTACCCAGCCTTCAACCAAGTACAGACCCGTGTGACGCTGTTACTGATGGTTTTGTGCATATCAGAGCTATTATTGTTACTGTTTTTTTCAGCCAGTGTGATATATGCAATAAATGACATGTTATGTTTCTTCTCTCAGAATCAGCTCTGTTCAGTACCTATGTACTTCCGATAATCACATGGTTTTCAATAATGTTTTAAAAATGTTTTGCTTGGCAGGTGTTTTGAGGATCCTGACTGAAATGTTTTTGCCTCATATAAGCCTTGGAGATTTGGAAGAAACGTTTTTCTCTAAAGTATTACCTAAGGTATGCCACCTTCAATTCAACGTGACGTTTTCTGTCAGTACAGTACTGAAAACCTGATTAGAATGCATTGCTTTTTCTTTTGAGGGCTCACTAGAGAATTATTACTTTGCATGCAAAGCTTGAAATAAATATTTGGCAGTTAAAAGTTTAACAGTGTTGCTGGATTGCTTCTGTGATTTTTACCATTCTTTACAGTGGGGAGAGGATTGAACATTGTCTTATTTTCTCTATTTAATAATAGAATCACTTTTTTTTCCCCTCTTTTTGAGAAGGTTGGGTTTTGTATAAAACAACCAAGGGGAATTTCACTTGAGGCCAGCTTTCTTGATAAAAAAGCTGAAGAACCCAAAACTTGTATCACAATTTTTGTTGTATTTGTGAGTAATACTTTGAATAAACCTTTAGGCAGTACTGACCTAATGTATGTTCTCTTTTTTGATTAAATGTTATTTTGTGCTGTGGTTGTATTATATTCTTCAGTGCATATATCTTAATGGTCTTAAAGCAGTGCTGAAATGCCAACTAAAGTTTCAGGCCTCATCTTGTGTATTTTACAAGCCTGTAAAAATTCCCAGCTGATTTCCATTTCCTTTCCTGAATGTCCCATGGCAAATTTTAGAGATACAAGAAAAGTGGCTCATAGCATGCATCTCCTGAACAAGGATTACTGTGCCATACCCTGCATTTGCCTGGCATTGTCTATAATTTAGGAAGAATAGATGGTTTTCACATCTTGATATATCATTTTTTTTTTATAACTTATATTCTAGAAAGCATCATTTTCTCCCATGAGTTATCTTGGTAGCCTATGAATCCAGTCCAAGGAAGCACGCGGATATAGAAGGGTGTTACTATTTATTATGTTTATAAATAAAATATTTAAGCTATTTGATTTTTTTTTCCTGACAGACTCTACAGTTGTATGATAAATTGATGTATGAACTTTCCAGTGAAGCCAAAGGATTAACTGACCAGAATACAGAGTTACGCAGTACTGTAAGGAATCTTTTACAGGCAAGTCCATAAACTGAGTGTTTTTTGTTTTTTTTTTTTTTGAGTGTTTGTGCTACTCGCTAACTAGCTGGTAAAAATGTAATCCAAACATTGCAATTAAAGTTCAGTTAAAGTTTTATGAATTATTTGACTATGTTTAGCCTGCGATGGTAATCAGAACGCAAAGAAAATATCAAATTCTGCATAGTTTCTAATGCAAATTGAGTGCGATTCTCCATATTTAAAGACTGAATGTGGCAATTATTGTTACAGCCATTTAAGAATTAAGATGTTTTCTAAGTAGAGAATAGTAGCAAAAAGAAGTAGGGAGTGGTATCAGAAAAAGCATTCAATTTGTTGATATTTTACATCTTTAATAAACTACTTATGGATGCAAATAGCAGTGAACTTTGAATGTCATAAAATCTAGGCGCAATTCTGCCAAGAAAAGATGCTTCTGAAATTCTTGCAGGAGTTGAAAAGCATTAATTATGGTTGTTTCTTCTTGATTTAAGACTGTAGTGCAACTCTTGGAAACTCTGACCAGTTGTGTACGGTACATCTGCACACTGCAAGACTGCGTGCCCATGGAGAGTATCCGCACCCTTCCATCTTCTGTTCTTTATGTAATAAAGAACACGTTTACACACTGCAAGGTAGGCCTGTGTTAGAAGGAGAAAAATTGTCTTACTGATTGTTTTCTGGGAGATGATCCCTGTTTCAAAATAATATTGCTGTAGGACTTATTTCTATTGCTATTAAATCATTTACAGCATGTACAAGTACAAATGTTATCTTTCATTGGTCTGCCTACCAGTTTGTACTTGGTAGTGGCAGGCATAGACCCTGCTATTTCCAAATTTTGCATCAGTGTCAATTGAACACTCTGCTTATGAACGTAGGTTGTGACATCTGTGCACTTTTGATAGCTTCAGGAGTTTTCAGAGATACAAATGGTGATGAAAACAGTGCTGCTTGCCTTATTTCTATGCATGCTCCAAAGTGGATTGAAAGTTGAAATGAAGACCATCTCATTGGTTACAAGGAGTAACGTGTATGAGCTTCTAGATGTAACAGTAATTCCCACTTCAACAGTGAAAATGAAACAAGGTTATTGTAAGGACACAACAGCTTTTGGTGAGCCTTCACTTTCACTGTTCACTTTGTTTCTTACTGGAGCATTTACAGCCAGATTTGAACTCAGGTGCCATACCTTTTATTTAACTATTTTAATTCTGAAGTTTTGGGAAATGTTTGGAGTGCTACTTCCTTTGTTCTACAGCTGTACTGTTTTGTTCAGAAATATAATATTGGGTTCATAAATCAATGCTAGTCCAAAGCCAACTGAACTCACTGGAGCCAGTCAGACTTCACTAACTTGATTAGGCTGTGCAGGTGAATAGTATTTTATATTTAGCAAGCAAGTGTTGGTATCAGAAGCTACAAATCTAGCTGAATATTGAGTAAAAATAGGTATATCTATGCTTTGTTCTTTTTGAAAGGTCAGTCTGTGATTCCTGAACTTTTTTTTAACCTTGTCTTCCCCATTTCCTATAGGATAGCGAATCAGTGTACTGTGGGAAGCTGCACTTGATTTCTGACCTCCTGCAAGCTGTGTTCAAGGAAACTTATTCTCTTCAGAAACAGCTAATGGAACTGTTTGATCAGATTTCTGTGGGGTCTGCATCTACTGAAGATGACATCTCAGATATGGTGTCAGGTACAAGTGGATCTAGAGGTTCTGTTAGTTTTGCTCAGTCTTTTTTTTCTTTTTTCTGTATAGAAAGAATGTTTGAATCTTAAAGAATGGTTTTGAGTTCAGCTCCTGCAGTCCTGACCAGCCCTTCAGAAGGCAGCATTTTGCTGCTTGAAACCCTGTGTGTGAGATGAGGAATGTTGAATGTGTTTGTTTTGAAAGGGGCATCCCTAAGAACTGAGCCATTCTCCTGATTCAGTGTCAGTGTGGTGCTATTCTCTAGTGTTTGTGGTTGCATTTTGTCTTCATAGCAGAGAAACCTGTCTGTGAAATTATGGCTCTGCTTGAACTCAGTTGTTGCTATTCTTATTTCCTTTGTAGTAATTCACACTGTGCTGGAGATCTGCTCTGTCATTTCCAATATGGACCATGCTCTTCATGCCAATACATGGAAGTTCATAATCAAGTATGTCTATAAACTCCTGAATTTTATTGCAAAATGAGCAGACCATAATTCTATATAACCAGAGTTTCACTAGCTTTACATCCAGAGTTTCAAATGAAATTGAAATTAGAGAATTTAATTTCTTTGAAAATTTAGCTAGTAAGTAGAATTAAATACACCATCAGTGAAAACAGGAATCATGCATGAAGAAGTGATACAAGCTTGGCTTCAGCATCTGAAATAGCTTTGTCTGAACAAATAGTCTTAAGAGTTCTGACATGCAGTTTCGTAGATGTTTCTAACTTAAACTGTGCTATCTTGTGCTTTCACCCTACCTGCCTTCTGTGCTTCTGTCACAGCTATGAGGAGAGCAATTTTCTCTCAGTCTGTTTCCCTTTCTATAATCAATGAAAATTATATAAAGGAATATATATAATCAAATAATATTAAGATGTTACAATAATGAAATAAGCAAGAGAGCTAGGCACAGCAAGACAAAGAGAATAAATAGGATGCTTACCTGCGTTGGGGGCTTGCTCAGGAAACTCCAGTGGAGTGGATCTTCCGAAGAGAGAGCGAGAGAGATCCTTCCCCACTGGTAGTCAGCTCTTAAATGGGTTTAGGAGAGGTGGAGCCAGGCTCCACCCCTTCCTGCAGCACAGGTGAATTGCTTTCACCTGTGCTCCCAGGGCTGATTCATTGCTCGCCTCAGGTGATTAATCAGAGGTTCAGGCTGTGACTCAGCAGTATCCATACACACCCTTGTACATGGATGTTGCACAAATTAATGTGGTATAAATTGGCTCAAATAGAAGAATTAGTTGTTTGGATTTGTACTACTTTAGTGTGTGATCACTTGTGACAATTAAACATCTCATTATATTCCTCTTTTAGGCAAAGTCTGAAGCACCATTCTCTGCTGCAGTGCCATCTGAAACACAGTAACATCCTCAGTGATCTGTGCAAAGATACTCTGCTTTCTTTTCATTCCAGTTTACAACTAGCTGAGGAAATGAAGCTGTCTGACATTCAGGTGAATTAAAAAGCTTCCAAAGCTGCCAGTGAGCTTCTGGAAGATAGATTCACTGTGCTTTGGGTATTATTTTTTTTAAACGTTCTTTTTAGCTCATATGTGGTGGGCAGAATACCTTGTTCTTTTGAAACTGTATGAAAATCAGGCCCCTTGACTTCATTTGTATTGGTACTGGAAACAAATGTCCACCATTTTCTATAGGGGTTTTGTTTATTTCCTAAATTGATGAAATCCCAAGGTCAACCAAAAGATAGCATTTCAGTTCTGAATATTGATATGAAAATGTTGAGACATAATGAAGATTTCTAAAGTTTGTCTCCCATTGCTGCTGAGTTTGTAGAGAGTCAAGTGTGAAATGGGTTTTGAGCACTGCTAGCAATTTAAACTTCCTCTGAATCCTGTTAGTCTGTATTTGAAGTTTTAGACCTTCTCTTTTGGACAGGATGGCACTGACCTCAGGCTATTCCAGAAGACTGTCAAACTGTGCAGATTCTTTGCCAATTCCCTGGTATACTACACCAAGGTAGGTTTTATTATTTGATTTCTCTGGTGGTGTCAGATTGAAGCCAGCATGCTTTAACATGCAGCACAGTCTAATGGTCTGGATGCAGTGTTAATAGTAAGAAATGCCACTGTACGATACCAGTTCTGACACTAACTTCTTCCCCTCTTAGTTGCTATGTTTAAGTTTCCTCATTAGTAGAAAAGATGCTGTAAACTGCCCCATTTTTAGAAAGTATTTGAGATAATTTTGCTGTCTAGGAGAAGCAGTGGTGGTATGTTCTGCATCCACTTTGTCCCATGGGGTAAGAGCAAGAGTTTGATTTTTAGCATTCTGACTGGATGAGACAGCCATACAGTGTGTGTCAGAGCATTTAACATGTGGCTGTTACAGCTGTTCTTACTATTTTTGTAAGAACAAGTCTCGAAGTGTCATTATTTTCTCTAAATTATATATGTATATATGCATGGTAATTAAACAGTAAGCCATTCCTAGGATGGTCTTGTACTTGTTTTGTGCTGTGGATTGTTAGAACTTGATCGGCTTAGTACTTCACACACTAATATAGCAGAACAGAAAGAAAACATTTAATTGTGTATTCTATAATTCAAGTACCTTTCAAAATTAATGACTTTTGCAGGAATTTCTTCCTTTCCTGTCTGATTTATGCTCACAGTTGCATCAACTGTTCCTTCAGATATACAGGTAAGTGAAATTCAGAACATCTGAGATTTTTTTCCCAGCTTTACTGTCATGCTTTCAATCTCTTAAATGCTCCCAGAGGGATTCCAGTTCTACCTAAAGCAACAGCTTTTATTTATGTGATGCTTATAAGTACTTCCTTCCCTAATCTGTGAACAGCTTATCGCTTTTCTTTCAAAAGTTTTGCTCTGTTTGTTGCATTGTCTGTATTTCTAATATGTTACATATTTTAAAGCTCACAGAATGTGAAGTTTTCTTTGCAGTGTTTAGAACAGTGGTGAGTTTTGAGCTGAAAGACTAAATACAAAGTTGTAACTCTTAGGCTATAATAGATATTAAAAAATGAGGAGTCTTTTCTCTCATTTATATAACAGTAAGAGTGAGAGCACAAGTTGGCTTTTCTGTAGTTGTTTGGAAAAGTAATGCCACTGAGAATGTTTGGTTTTTTCTTCTTTCATCAGCAAATTTCCTCCCAGTCTTTATGCTCCAGTGATCTCAGAGGTACATCAAGATGAAATATCACGGGTTTTTCTTGTGGCTCTGGATCCTCTCATCAGTCAGCTTCTTCCCTTTAGCCCTTTTATGGAGCAAGTGCTAAAGGACATTTCAGGTGTGTTTAAAACACAGCTACCATTAGTACAGTGCTATGCAACCATGTGTAAGGAGCCAGAATTTGTATGGTGACATTCTGGACCACAATCTGCACTGACTTGCTTGCATTGTTTCTTTTGTTGTTACTGTGTTATAGTCAGCTGAATTCATAGAATCATCTAATTCAGATGAATTGCATAGAAGTTCACATTGCTGTTGAATGCATGTTTTCCAAAGTGCTCAAAATTTGCAATTAATTTGGTTAACAAATCCTATTAATTGTGCTGTTTTGCATGCTTTCATTCCATATTTGCCACTAACTTTTAAAGCAGAATAACCACTTTATGCTGCGGTGTTGATTGAAGCAGACATTTTCCTGATTTTCTTTTTTCTGTGAAAAACTGTATGTCTTCAAAATGAAAGATGATTATCTTTCTGTCATAACCACCTTTAACATTTCTACACTGACCTGCACGTTATAATTCTGGATAGCTATGCAACATTGTGAGAGTTATGATCATCAGTTGCTCCTTCTCTCTGTGTAGGCTTGGCTTGCTTCTCCCACATGTGTGCTGTTGTCTTGTGGTTATCATGACACACTCAGGAGAAAACTTTGGGCACTCAGTGTCTCATCCAGTGCCATCAAAGAGATAGGAAGCACAAGGCACATAGATTGTAATTCTTTGCAGCAATGCTACAGTATTTTAGCTTTTAATGGATAAAGGATATTGCATTTATTTTCACTTCAAACACAATAAACGTTCTGTTTTTATTCTGAGTGTGTCTGTAAGAGACTTTGGATTGTTTTACTGAGAACTTTTTTGCATCACCAGTTCTTCATCTTCTGTTCAATTGCTTAAAAGCTAGTTTAAGCACCATATATATTTACCAGGGTGACACATTTCAAAACCAATTCTCCAGGTCTTCCTGCTGAGCAGCAGCTGCCCCAGTGTCTCCTTCTGATTACCATCATGGACAAGCTGTCTTCTCAGCCTGAAGAAGTGCAGACTCTCTGGAACACAGGAAAACGGTACCAAAAATATTTTCACTGTAATTCCTCACTAGAGGGATCAATCTGTTCTGGCAATGGGGCTCAGATGTTAGGGTTTCCCTCACAGATTTGTAAAGTTTGACATCCTTATGCTGGGAAAAACAGGACTCGGTGTCCTGCTTCAGGACTGAAGGATACAGATCAGAAATATGATGATCACTGTCATCCTTTTCAACACAGGCCATTCTATGATTCTATGAGTATCTTTGTTATTTGGACATGGTTTTAAGTTGAGGGAGGAGAGATTTAGGTTGGATGTTAGGGGGAAGTTCTTTACAAAGAGAGTGGTGAGGTGCTGGCACAGGCTGCCCAGAGAGGCTGTGGATGCCCTGTCCCTGGAGGTGCTCAAGGCCAGGTTGGATGGGGCCCTGGGCAGCCTGATCTAGTATTAAACGGGGAGGTTGGTGGCCCTGCATGTGACAAGGGGGGTTGGAGATTCGTGATCCATGAGGTCCCTTCCAACCCTGGCCATTCTGTGATTCTGATTCTATTTCAAGAAAGGGATGATACTTAGACTATGTCCAGGACAAAGCAAGAGATATGTATATAATGTTGACGCTTTGCTAAGTTAAAGTATTGCATTTTTATGCCTGAATGCTCTAATAGTCTTTGTAAATAGTGTTTGTGAAAGAGGAAGATAGTCAAAAATATAAATCTAGCATACAAATAAAGCACTGAAGATACTGCCGTAGTTTCTAGTTGAAGACAAAGCATCTGTAGTAGAGATGCTGTTTGCAGGATTTGGGACTTGCCTATCTGTAACACAACCGCTATCATTTTTCTTCCTTCCCCTCTTCCTCCTCACTCCCCCACCCCCAGCCTGTCTTTTCTCTCAGCTCTTTTCCAGAGTTTCCAGCAATGTTTTGCGGAGCTTTCTCTCCCTGTTTGTTTGCCAGAAGTGATCAGTACAGGACAGCCAGCAGTCCCCATCACCCTGTACCACTATGTCTGCGTCCATCTGTGCTCCTTCATTGCTTCCACACTCCCATCACAATTTCCTCATCTGGTAAGACTGATGTTGCTTATCATCTTTTCAGCTGTTGTGATGCAAAGATAATATTTTTAAACTAATGAGTTATGTCTAATGATGCAGCTGAAGAAATGATTGAGTATGAAGTGCTTTGACTTCCTCTTCAAAATGCAGGGGTTCAGTTACACACACAGTGTTACCTATGAAGGAAGGGGGAAATTAAGCTGCATACAATTTCTTGAGGAACCTTATTGTTCCTCATTAGGAACCTTATTAGGAATTCTTGTTCTCTTTCCATGGGGATACCAAGTTGTTAAGAAAACTTCAGTGCTTTCATTTACCAGGAAAGGTTTGATTTGTATTTAAGTAAAGCGCCAATAAAATTGGCAAAAAAAAAGTAGCAGTACAGTTGTTTAAATGTGAATATATATGTATGTATGCATACATATATCTACATACACACACACACACACACACACACGTAGCAGTTGCCTTGCAAAGAAGAGATGTGCATCATGAAATATTTTGAAAAGTGGGACATCTTCATCTCCTTGTAATGAATGTATAACGAATGTATGCACATGTTAAATATGTAAAACTAAAGGCATGTCTTCTGGGTTAATATTGTAGCTGAGTAGAAAGCATGGCAATCAGCTGTTAAAACATTTCAGAGTGGATGAGCTGAAAATCCTACTGTGCTAATTAATGGAGTAATAGTAGTAGTAGGCCTGCAATTTGTTTCTGCTTGAATTTAGATGAGTATTTTTTCCTCAGGAGCGTGCTCTGCTGGATGCTGTGCTGGGTTCTAGTATGATCACATCCCTGCTAGCAATGGACTCATGGTGCTTCCTTGCTCGGTAAGAGGTTCTTGTTACAAATCAAGCAGGATTCCACAGATCCAGTTAGTTCTGTTGCATGAGAGAGAATTTTAAGACAAACTTGTCCCAGCATTGAATTATTTTCAAATATAGAACTGATTTGACAATTAGGAACGGAAATAGCTTAGCCATTTTTACATTCATTCAAGGAGAACATACTTCTGTTTTTGATTGCTTTCTGGAGCAGTTCTCAAGTAAATTCTATCTGTGCTTAAATATGTTATGGGAAATGGCCATCTCTGAGACAAGACGTATGATATTTAATCTGTACAAGTCTAGGAAATACAGACTCACTAACCTTTCTTTCACATTTCAGGTATGGAACAGCTGAACTGTGTGCTCACCACTGTATGGTGATTGCTCACTTGGTAAGAATCAGTCATGTTTGGAATTCAGCACTGGTTCTCATCCTGGTTCTACTGCAAATTTCTATATCACCAAAGATGAGAGTTTAATGGTTCTTATCCAAATCCAGAATAGAGATGACTTTAATTCCTCATATTGGGCTAACAGTTAGCAAAAGCAGTATTGTGAAAATACAAAGTCATCTAGCTGGTATTCCTGACATGTCCTGCATTGTTTTTTGTAGTGTTACTATTGTGATCTCACGTAGCAATTCTTGGAACATTCAGTACAGAATTCATTTGCTGAGTGGTGATTTTTTTTCTTAATTTAATTAGATTCATTTCCTATTTTCCTAATCCAGATAAAGTCGTGGCCCAGTGAGTGTTATCAGGTCTCAGTCTTGGGTGTTCTGCTGAAGCGCATGCTGTTCTTGATGGCTCCAGATCATCAGGCAAGTACAGCACCAGCATGTGCCTTTAATAAACAGCTTTGAAATCAGAGCCCTGTGTCCAAAGTATGCTCCTCCTGTCCTTCAGAAATGTCAGGATGTTGAGTGCTCACTAGTGTAAATTTGTTAGTGTTAGATCCTAATTTGTGCTTCAAAGCAAGGCAGGCATGTACACTTCTCTATAGTGGTACACTTCTCTAATAGTGACACACAATAGTGTGTCAGTGAAGTCCTTTTTTGACTAAGTATGGAAAGAGCACATCTCCCTTATTTACTGAAACTGTATTTCTATCATTGAAATTGTACACAGTACATAAAATCTAATTTGTAGTCATCACTTGTATTCATTTAATAGAGATTATGATGAAGAGTCATGCTGCAATACATAACTAATACCAAGAAAATCAACACAGTAAAAAAAAGAGTATTAAAGTAATTTCAGTACTTGGGAATACACGTCTAGCTTTTCTTTATATATACTTGTGTAGACAGATTGCATCAGCTGCATGGGGTGACAGTAGTGGCTGATCATCTGTTCGTTCACTGTGTTGCTTGTGAAAAGACAAGTAGGCTCCAATTTTGTTGCAAGGTAGTCTTAGAGTAAGAAGAATAACAGCCTGCTTCTGCAGGCTCTTAAGATTCATCGTGGCAAATGTTCAGACTGTTCCTAATGCTTACATGGATGTCAGCAGAACTGACTCATTATTAGTAAAGAGACTGATTACTGCAAGCAAGCCTATTGGTGTATTGCTCTTCAGGAATGAGTTTCTCAAATTCTCTAATATAGTCTGTTGGTATGATTTGGGGGTTGGTTTAGCACATTTATGATCCTTCATCTCTTTCTTCTAATATCTGGGGCCATTGCTTCAAGTAGCTGAGAGCATAAATAGCTTAATGGTTCTGATGTCCTATTTCTGGCAGGGAGGTGGCAGTTCTGTAATTTGTTGTTTTTTGTTTGTTTTCTGTTTATTGAACAAATGGATTTTCTTAAACTATATCATGTTCTAATATAATATTTATAAAGCAAATAGGAAGTGTTTTCCTTGTTGGCTTCACAGCTTTTTGAGTTATTAAATTCTTTTCTGGTCCCACTAGTTCGTATTATGTTATGAACGAATGAATTTTATATTTTTATTTACAGGTGGAATTTGCTCACAAATTTCTCCCAGAAGAAGTGGAAAACTTGGCTGTGTGGCAGCACGTGTCCCTCAGAGCCCTGAACCCTGATCTTGGGAAGCGAGTGGTGCAGGAGCTCTGCGTGGCAGCACTGGCGCAGTGCAGGCGGTGGCTGAACAGCAAGCGTGCTTGGGGAGAGCTCCAACCTGTGGTAAAGGAGATTTGGTTCTCTTTGTGAAAGGATGTGAATTCTGCATTAGCTGACCATGAGGAAGCTGTGGCTGTTCCCTCAGTTTTATTCTTCTATCTACTGCACAGCTATTTTTTCTATACCTAGTCAGCAAATCATAATCAAGAACTCCGATTTTAATGTTTCTTACAGTGTGCAATGCCTTGGGGGCCTTTACTCTGAGGGTGATAGTGGAGATCTTGTGGTTTATTTGTTACTCTAGTTGTTTTTTGCTGTCTGGGTGAGCAGATGTGCTTTTCTTTACAATTTCCAGTTTATATCATGTTATAAAACTACTTCTAAAGTCTGGATGGTTTTGTGTGGAATCAAATCTGAAAGGTGCTCACTGGTCTCCCTGGCAAAAGTGGAGAGTGAGAGAACCCAGAAGTTTCCACATGAAGTACTGGCTGCCAGCTTCCTCCTGGCAGTGCAGCTAACAGCTATAGCACCATCTGAGATCACACAGAAGTTACAGATGGTTCTCCTCACTTTGGAAGCTTTATTGGCCATGGGGCTGGTGGATTAGCTGTGCTGTACAGCTGTGGTACAACCCATTAGGCTTCTTGCCATCTGGTATCGTTTTAGATACTTACTGTGAACCTGGGGTTTTTGTTTTACTTATCCAACATTTTTTCCTACTAGAATGTTGCCTTTTCTGTCTTGCTGGTTACCTGCAATTTTTCTGGTGATGCTTTGGAGGCAGAACTTCGGGTGTCTATTTTGGGAGTGCTTGGTCAGTTCTGGACTTTCCTTCAGGCTAAGCAGGTGAGAGGATTTACTGTTCTGATAGTGAAAACATGATGTCTGTGGGAGACTGCTGCTGCTGTTACAGCGTGTCTGTTACTAAGTTGTTTTACATGGGTTGGGCCATTTCTGTAAAGCACAATTCTGTTGTCAGGTGGTTTGTCTAATAGACAGGCTTGTGCTGTAGGAAATGGAGTTTGAGTTTTCCCAAATGCGTGGCTCCTCCCTACTGCATTTGTCACTCGGTTGCAGACTCGTTTAACAAGAAGTCTGAAATACCTCATTCTGATTCATCTCACATATTTGGCCTATGTTAAATGTCTATTAGAAAGTGAACAAAACCCATGCTGATATTGCTTAGCCCAGGAAAGCCTACAGAGCTAGTAACTTTCCTTTCATATTTGAGAATAGGGGGGTAGGGTGATCTCCCGCTTGTGACTACACACCTAACCATTTGTGTCTGCAGCTGGAGTTAAACAAAAAAAGGAATTGTCACAGTTACTACTCCAGATTTAAAAAACAAAAAACAACAAATTTAAAAAAACTAAAGGAGAGGAGTTGAGAAGAGTCAGCAATGTGCCCTCGGGAAAAGCAAGGCTGATAATAGCCTGGATTGCCTCTTGGGAGGAGTGTTGCTAGCAGGCTGGGGGAGGTGATCCTTCCCCTCCTGTAGTTGCACTCCTTCCCCTTCTGAGGCCACTCCTGTAGTTGTGCTCCTCAGTCCAAGAGAGAGGTGGAACTCCTGGAGAGGGTCCAGTGAAGTGCCACAGAGGTGATCAAGGGACTGGAGTGTGTCTCCTGTGAGGAGACGCTTGGGGAGGTGGAATTGTTCAGCCTGGAGATGAAAAGTTTTGGGAAGATCTTATCAATGTACACAAATATTGGACGGGAGGGTGCTCCCTTTTTTACTTTGCTTATATTGGTGAGTGGAGGAAGGAAAAGGGGTTTAAGAAAGATCATTAATAAAAATCTGAGGAAAGGATCTTGAAAAAATACAACTACTTAGAAATATGTATTTGTATTTCTATTTTAATCTTCTCTGCTGCTGCTTATGATGTATTGCTTTAAGTGTGTAGTTAGGCTAAGAATTTTAGGATGCTACTGCAAATTCTTTAGGTATTATTCCATAAACTAAAATACACTGATAAAGCATTTGCTAATATCTTGTGATTTGCTGAAGGTCTCAGATGAACCATGTCTCCAGCAAACGCTGTGTTTATTACTTCATCTTCTGAAGTTTTTCATCCAAGCATTAGACGCTCAACTAATCAGCCAGGTAAAGAAAACAACAAAAAATTATGAGCAATTTACTTCATGAAAAGCTTGTTCTTTGTGATGTAATGACATCTCAAAATTATCCCATGGCTTGGTCTTTATCCCCGCTAGTTTTCCTCAAGCAATAGCACATCTTTTGTTTTCAGTCCCACTTCATAAAATCAACATCCTCAGATTCAACGATTAGACAGAGCAGCATTCATCTGTTATTCTGTTTGCTGGGCTTTGTTTCCTGCAGGTTTTTTCCCTGCTGTCTGCCCTTCTCCGGATGGATCCCCCCGATCACGTTCGTCTAGCAATGCTGGATTTTCTCTCTTCTGTGGGGAAGGTGTTTATACCACAAGAAGTACAGGTAATAATAATCGTGGTTTTACTCAGTCTTTAGAATTACAGTGAAAGGATGTTCAACTTTTTAAATATAAAAGATTGAGTTAAATACATTCAGATGTACCATGACTTAATAATCATCTTGGAGATTCATTTTTCATTGGCACCCTGAGTGCATGTAAGATGATTGGTTTATTTATTTGCTCATTGCTTCTCACTGGTTAGAAAGGACTTATGTCTGAGCCTCTGAGAAGAAAGCATTTCACCTCCCTTACAGAAATTTGTTGTCAGACAGAGCAGTAGCACTCTCACATCTTATGAACCTGTGCCTTGAGCTTAGACCAATTCTTTAATAAATAAATCATGCTGCTAAGATACAATTAACTCCTAGTAATTGATAGATATTTGGTCTTTTTCCAGAGGCAAGTTGTACCCCAGCTGTCCTGTTTGTTTGCTTCTCTGCTAGCTGACCAAACCTGGTTGATTCATCAGCGCGCACTGGAGGCATTCAGATGCTTTGCAGAGGTAAGCACAGCAGAACTCTGGATGTACATAGCTTTGGTCATACAGGGATTATTCCATCTTAAACGTTTGCTGCTCTTCACTGAAAATGCTGGATCTTAGTTACAAATGCTATTGCACATAGGTCATCTCCTAATGCAAGTTACCTGTGATTTCAGGAGCTAGAAGTGAATGAAAATGAAATGTTGGCTGCTTAGATTGATTGCAACAAGGATGGTTGTTTAAAATACTTTGTCACCAGAGAATTCTTCTGAGAATGTCACAAAAACATTTTTCTTTGTATATTTCTTTGTTAATATGAAATGTACTAAAGGTCTATTACCCAACATTTCTGACAGGAAACAATCCATGAAGATGTTGTTCCTCAGTGCCTTCATTCTGAAGAAATTAAGAATAAAGTTGTTAATTTTATGGCTAAGGTACGTTGTTGAATCAGTTTACTGCTTTCTTAGTTGCTGTTGCAGATATCCATGATTTATGAGCCTGCTTCACTGCCACACTCACGCAGGTTTTGGCTATGAGTGTGTCCATGCCATCATCTACAGGCAGATTAGCCAAGTGTAAATTAATAAATTGTCCTGTTAAACTGGGATCTGGTTGAACTTTTCTATTTGCTTAAATCAAATGCTATTTCTATGCATGGTGTTCTTCCAGTACTTCTGAATTTTGGTTTCAAATGCTTTGTGTTTCCCTCAAGAAAAAGAATAAATGGCGAAGTTGCAGTTATTGTTGTAGGCAGATAAGGTGTCTATGAAAAAAGACAGCAATTTCATCACACTGTGTTATTTCCTTCTTTCTTTTTTTCTTGGATTAGCTTCTGTAAACTCACACATTCAGATTACTTTCCTAATTGTTCTGATACTCATTAGAACCGCTGAAGGCTGGTAATGACTTCTTGTTGGTTACCTCTCCTGTGGCTTTCTCCCTAGGTAAGGCAAGGCGAAGAGACAACAGAAGCACGTATAGAACGCCTGAAACAAGAAAGGATTACCTGTGGTGCACATTTTATGAAAATGGCTGGAGAACTGGAGTCAACAGGAGAGGTATGTGTACTTCTTTAAACTGCCTTGGCTCTATTGTAGATTTCTGCAATTTTCTGGGGGAATGGGGAAGTATCTGAAGAGGTTCAAGTCAGCTTTTGCTGCCTTCCTTGTTCTAGGAACAAAAGGCTGTGTGCAGTCCTGGACCTCAGTATTACAGCTGCGTGCTCTGTTCTGCCTGTGAGCCAGAAAGAACTCTCATGAGACAAGGGAGTTTCGTGCAGCTTTCCACTTTCTGAGGATTTCTTGCATTTGGGTGCATTCTGATCACCTCTATAAGGGATTAGAAATGTCTAATGCTTACTTAAATTTGCAGCCTCTGGCAAAACGAGTGTGTCACCCTCCATCTGAGGAGCAGTACAAGTCAGCAGTGGGCACAATGGAGGGAGCAGTGGAGGCTGTGAAGCTGCTGCTGCAGAAAGGATCACCCCCTGCATGGGTTGCAGTGAAACTGGAGGCTCTACACACAGCTATAGCCATCCTCAGAGACAGTGTACGGTAAGGTGGTAATGGGGTTAGAGAGATGCTGAAACATTTCAGCTCTCTGTTGTGAGAGAACTGATGCTTTGTTTGTACCATGGCTGCTGGAGAAGAAGAAAAATGTGACATGAGGTGATGCTCTGCTTTACTGCCAAGTCTTGGTTAATATCCCCAAATGAACTGAAGCCCATCCTTCATACTTACTGTCTGGATGAGCAGTATGTTTTAATGGACACTACTGTGCATCTGAGCTGACCTTTTGTACACTGCCACTGTACAGGTTAAGCTCTGGTGTGATGATAAACGTTTCATGAAATTTTATTTTGAATATTGCTACGTTTGAATCTGTTGTGAAAGTAACAGTTACAGTGAGCAGTAAGTGTTGTGTGTTAATTTTAAAATATGCTTAAAAATAACTTAAGGCTTTATACTGTTCTCTGAACACTACTGGTTCCACTCCAGACTGGGGTCATCTTTTAAAAATAATCTTTATTCATCACAGTTAAGAGCAGAGAATGAATGTGGCGCTTAAATGGTTTGAGTTGAACAGTCCTTCACCGTGCATTTCCTAGCACCTTTTATGCAATTCATGGAAAGGGTTTTATAAACAGAAATAAATATGTTGTACAGATTCATTTTAAAATCATCTTACAGCTAAAATGTTACAAGGATCAATTTCTAAGGGCTTTCTTGCCAGGAAGGAAAAAAGCAACAAAAATAATAAGCCCAATAAACAGGTAACTCAGAGTAATTTTCATTTATTGTCATCAGTTTTTCAGAGCAGAGATGAGTTTTGCTTGCACCACCAACCACTTAGCCTCCATCAGCATGTCAGCACCAACACACCTATCCTGCTGTTCCTCTCTCCAGTAGCAGTGACACACACTACAGCTGGGCCTATTGCTCGAGTGCAGGCCTCACCACCCTGCATTTTTTGGCACAGACTGGAAAGGAGCATCCATTAGAAGGGATTGGGCCCCTGGGATTTTGCTGGCTGCTGCAGCAAGTGCCTGCCTTTTCACAAAAGCAGTGCTGAGGTACTTATCCATTATATTGTAGAAGCAGCAACTTCTCTTACAGATTCCAACACAGCATAAATTGCCTTTGTCTCTTTCAATCCCATTACCAGTTAGCATCATCTTCCCAGTTCAACTCGTCTTCTTCACCCCAGCCTGCAGCTTCAGCCTAGAATCATGTAAAATTATTAACATTAAGGCACATGTGCTGTACTTCTGTTCTTAATACAGCTACAGGCAGTAACCAGACCAACTTGTGATGGCAGAGCAAGACATTTTTCTTAAAGAGAAAGGCATCCTTTTCCTTGCCCCTTTGAGCACCTGGGCTTTATACAGAAAGCCCCTCGTAAAAACCAAAAACAAAGCACTGGAGTTTACAGCTTTTCAACTTAAAGGACTTCTAACTGTAAAAGGAAACACTTTAAATACAAGGAGTTTCTTATGGCTTCCTCCTAAACTTAAATCATGCTTTGTTTCTATCAAAACCACTTTTCGTTAAGAACAGGATGCTATAAAATAGACTTCTTTCCCTTCCTCTTAGGAAACAGCTGTTGTCCTGCTGTATTCTAGCACTCTGACTTTGATCTCATTCTCAGCTACTCCAAGAGCACTGTCTGCACTACAATGAGTGGATCCCATAAAATGAGGTAGATATCACAACAGTGCATCTAAAAAATCAAGTCTCTCATTTTCAAATGTTGTAAACAACCTCAGTTTAGACATAAGGCTCCTCTCCTCATGCTACCACTGTGCTAACTCTCCCAGGGCTAAATCAGCAAAACAACTTGAAGTCAAAATCTATTCCCTAATGGAGGTACGTGGAAGCCTGTGCAGCCCTAGAGCTGGGGCTAGATGGATTTATCTGCTTACCCTGAAAGGCAGCTTATAAAACTGCCTCATGGGTCTATGAATGGGAGAAATGCCTCACCTAATCCTTCCTAAAAAAAAAAAAAAAAGGCTCCAAAAAGCTTTTCTCTATTATTTCAGGTATTATTTCTTCACTCTTTCTTCTGGAAAAACCTACTAGCATTGTAAATAGCCACCAGCAACAGAGTCTTGAATATCTTTTGTGCTTAGAAGCTCCTTTCTCTCAGTGCTTAGGGCCACGTTTGTTCAGCAGACAGTATGCAGTCTTATTTCACTTCCCCTGTCTGATAAAAGACTCACCCTACAGCCATGTAGGGTCCTAGCATTCAGGATACAGCAGCACAAATTAAGAACAGGAGTTGTATACTCCTAAAGTCATTGATTAAGGAATTCTAAGTTAAATCTACTTCCTTACTGTTTCTTAACATGGCTGCCTTGCTGCTCTAGCAGCCCATGGAATTACCCAGTGCCTGATAAGAGGCATCATCCAGAACTAGATATCTTGTATTCACAGGCAAAGACTCAACTGTACAGCCCTGCATTGCTGATACTTCCTCAGGCTATCAGCTGTATGATATATGATGTATGATATATGGAGCCTGCTGCTTCCACAACAGTATGTTGTGCAATGTATGTGCTTTAAAATCCTCTCAAATGTGCATTTGTTTAAACCCCACTGTCTATTAACTCTTACCTCAATAACATCAACTGCTGCAAATTTGGATGAAAACAGCGCATTCTGGGAGGCACCTTCTCTGCTGGATTCTGCACCAGGGTGACTGGGAACAACTGCTTCTGTCCTTGCTTCAGGTAAAATCAAGACTGCTGAAGAAGGTTTAATGTCTGGTATCATGTCAGCAAACCAGTCCAGCTCGGGGTCTTGCACTGGTTTCCTCTTCACTTTGATGGTGAATTCTTCTCCTAGGCCAGACTCCAGTGAAGACTTCAATCTTTCCTCTAAGGTCTGTTTGGGCAGCACAGTTTTTTCTAGTTGTCCTTGATGGTCCCATTTGTCATTGTTCCAGCTGTTCCCAGGGGGGGACTTTGTTGAGGGATTCGCTTTGAGGCTTTCCAATTCTTTGCTCTGTTGGTGGGTACCCAGTAGAGTCCTCTGCATTTCAGCTGCATCAGCTTGTGTCACAGTGAGGCAATTTCCTGAGGTCAGGTCAGTATGAGGGCTGCTGGGCTCAAAGTCATCCCAAGACTTCTCATCTACATCACGTTCAACAAAATAAGGTCCTGTGCTGCCCTGTGGTTTTTGGGGCTGAATTTGGATGTTCACAGTTTTCTCAGTATCTGTCTCCTCTGGCTCACTCCAGTCTGGCCATTCCTCTGCTGGCTTTTCGGAGGTAGTTAAAGAGCTCCTGCTGCTCCCAGGAACTCCATTCAGGGGGAGCTGAGTGGCTTGCTCACCTATGGAGGATAAAGGTGTTATATATTCATTTCAGAAAAGCAAGTGTGGTGACGAAGTTGACATCACCAGTGGCACCTGGCATGGACATAAAGCAGCTGGCAGTTCAGAAAGTAATGGCAATTGCAAAGATGTTTCAGCACTGAGCTCTTCTCAAATTAGAAAGCACAGCTATCTTCCTGTTTGCAAAGTGGGGAGCATTAAAAACTGGCAGCTGGCAGACATCATTAAATGATTGAGAAAAGGCCATTAAAGGACTGAAAAATGGCCATAAAAGCAAACAGTGTCAGCTTCTGGGGTCAGAGAACGAGCTGACCTACAAATAATCACAGAGGCAACAGTCTGCAGGAGGGTATCTGCCATGTTGTGGAGAGGTGAAAAAGCACAGCAGAGATTCTGTGCTGTGGAAACACAAAAATCCAAAGCAGGCCAAGCATCAATGCATATAAATCAGATTCCCAAAAAACTATTCCCTAGAAAGTCAAGGGTCACTTGCTCTTTCTTTCATTATTACCTTCCTTAGATCTCTGAATCTCTTTAAGACAGCACATGGGCAAGATTTATATTTCTCAAACAACTTTTCATTTGTAGGACACTTAGTTTCTAAAAAGGAAAAGATAGGTCAAAGTTGTACCTGTCTTTAAAGCCAATGGATTGTCTTGTTGCACAGAATGCTTCTTGACAACTGCATTTCCAGAGGTAGGAAGCATGCTGGAATTGTTCTTCAAAGGCCAAGAGGTTTGGTGTCTCTGATTGCTTACAGCATGAGTTGGTGAGTCTGCAGGGATAGAAGAAAGGCCATTAAGTCCAACAGGTGTGTTGGCAGTGTCAGTTGAAACTGCCCACAGCATTGGAGTTTTATTTACTACAGAGATGAGCAATACCAAAGACTGGCACTGCAATGCAAAAACTGCACCTCTTGATCTATACGTTACATAACAATACTACTCTTCCTGCAGCTCTTGCCAGTACAAAGTTTAGGCAACTGTAAATGAGTCAGTTTTTGCTGCTCTGTTCTTTCAAGGTATACATAGTGAACAAACAACATGATCTGAATTAGATGATTAGAAAATGCTGTCTGCCACATGGCTGGATCCAGTTGGATGCATGGCAATACCAGTCTCCTGATCTGCCTCATATGAAAGCACAGCACTGACAGTCACAATTCGAAGCGTAATGCCACTGCACAAAATCCCTTGTATGCCCGGGCATGAGCAGAGCAGGAACAAGAGGCTTTATCCCAAAGGTCTCACTTGTATGATGCACTCAAGGTGAGGTATGGTGGAAGGAATGTTAAAGGCTGCACACTGAAGCTGCACAAGGCAGGCTTGTTTCCCTGGACCAGTGGGAACAGTGTAGCAAGCATCTGGTTCCAGATCATTGGGGGAGTTGTAGCATAATGTCACTGATGCACTAATACTGGCTTCAGCTGTTTAAGCCCCTGCTCCCATCCCTTCAAAGATGGAATAGAAGGGCTTGGATCACTGCTGTCTACACCTGATGCTGTGTGATGCCAGCCAACTCACAGCACTGGAAAGGACTGCAACTGATACACAAAACGTGAGCCCTCCATAAAGAGTACAACCTTTCAGGACCATAGACAAACATCTCATTAAGTGTCGTCTATTCAGCATCTAGCACTCCTTTTTGTACATTGTCACTCACTGTTGAGGACAAAGAGTTGATTTTCAATATCCCCCTCCCACATCAACAGTTAAGTCAGGTCCAATTTTAAATATATTCTGAAAAATGCATCTGTTCTTAGCATACAATATGAAGGTTTTTATTTACTACAGTCTACTACAACAACATAAAAAAAAACACTGCAGTGAACCATCCACAGATTTTAATGAGGAGCAGTAGTTACCAGTACACACAAGCAGGACAAAAACATGTACATTGAAAAAAAAATAAATTCATCTCTATCATGCATTTCATGTAGGTTCCTCTGCTTTATGTCTAAAATATAGCAAATGATTCTTCCCTCCAGCTACAGGTATTATTTCAACATGCAGAAAGGTTTTCCCTTAGTACACTTGGTTCTGCGTTATCTAACAGGTGTAGGAACTACTTTCTTCATTTGGATTAGGTGAAAAGCCTCCAGAGAGTTGAGAAAATAGGGAAGTTTGTATTTCTTTTCCAATCTACAAACAGAAATTGGGGAAAAAGGATGAAATTTACTGCTTTTAGAAACACGAAGGACAGAGGAAATATCGAACAACTACTTAGATGTAAGTAAGTCAGTCTCACAGGAGGATAGAACAGCACTTCCACTAAGGGCAACTGCACTTTAACATAATTTCCTTTGCACATCTTTCCTTGCAGTTTGGGGGAAATTAGCTTCTCTTCAATTAACCTAACAGAAAAAGATTATTCAACCAAGAAATTCTACCTGTGTTGCAGGGACAAAACAAGCATGAATCCCAAGAGCGCTCAAACCACATCACTCACTCACCTTCCGGGGAGATATCAGCAGTTTTCATGAAACTTGGTGCAGAGCTTTTGAAAATCTTTGTTCTTTCACCACCTACTACCACTTCAGGTCCAAGCAGGGAGACAAGAACTGCTAAGCTGTGTAGTGTTATTGCCACAATAGAGTCGCTAGTGTCTCGAAGGCCCAGCAATACCTACAGCAAGAATGGGACAATGTTATCAAGAACAGAAAATCCTGTTTTCCCTACTTTTTTTTCCCCCGTCTATACATGTTATATTTGCAGCACTTTTCAATTCTAAGATCTCCTGAAGTGGATTTTGGACATTATTCTATGCCAGAATATCAGCCTTCCACTTTGTGTGGAAGCTAAAGATTACAATTACAGCATTTTGAGAGCTCAGACTGGTCACTCCCTGCTGACAGCTGTAGAGTGTTCTGTGAAACAAAAATGCCATCTCTTGTTGTGAGGCTGCAGTCCAACCTGACAGGTATCAATCAGCACAAGCAGTGGGTGTGACAGAAGGCATGAGGTTTAACAGACACAGCACTCCAGATCAGGGTGGAGTGTCACACTTAAGGCTTGTGTAAAAGGAGGCTGGAAATTGTTTGCTGCCAGTGCTATGAGAACTTAGTTTTGAGCTAAGAGCCAATATAGCAGCAGAAATCCCATATATTCAGATATACACCATGTATTGCTTTCCCGACCTGTGGCAATATGATGTTTTTCAACTCTTCCCGAGAGAACAGTTCTGCATAGGCATGAATGTGAGACAGCAACACCATCCGCACGTGCTCCTCATGAACCTCAAAGAGCTTCAGCAGCACAGGAATCACGTGAGTCTGGAACAAGGCTGGCGACAGGAGGCAGCTGGTCTGGCTTTCTCCAGTTTGCTCTAGGGAAGAGATTGGAAAAGACTGCATTGAAAACCACAGGCAACTCTTCCAAAAGCTATTCTGTGAGAGACTGTCAGCTGAAATCTACAGTGTCACCCCAATGCCAGGTCTGAGTTTTTGTCAGCTGCCAACACAGCTGGTTTGGGACATCAAAAATGGGGGGAGGAGAGACAGTCAGCATCTTTTGCCTGACAGCAATGGCTCTGAAAGCTTAGCAGCAGTCATAAGAGGTACTGCTTGCCTGAAATACCAATAGTTATTTAGGTAAAACTAAGAGAGGGGAAGCAAGCAGCAGGGCCAGAGGTTGCTGGAGATCCAGCAAGACACACTGAACATCCCTCTTAGAGATGACAGAAGAGAATCAGCCCGGGCTCTCAGTGGCTCACTGGGCAGGTGGGGTGACACTTAAACACAGGAAAAAGCCTGGGCAATTTGTAATTCTCACCCAGCATCAGCAAAGCAGTGGAAAAGCACTTCAGAACTGGAGAGGAGAGATTTGTACATTAGAGAATTTGTTCTGGTTAAACAAGCAACACTATATGATTCAATGGAATGACCACTGAGTTAATTCCAAAACTAGTAATAATTTTGAAGAAAGTATTTGAAGGTCACCTTTCTTTGGCCCCAGCAGATGAGGAAGAAAACTCCTGACAGCTACAGGTTCTGCAAACACAAGTTGATTGAGCAGAAGAGGCACCAGCCGTGATGCTATCAGCTCCTCTGACAAGCCAGCCACTCTGTCCAGCAGGAACCTGTGTTCCAGGAGAGAGCAATTAGTATCAAAGTGGCTTCTCATGCATTTATGACCATTTCTCATTGTACTGCCTTCCCCTCTTTTTGGGGCCTGCCTTAGCTTCTACATAAGGAAAGTTTCCCTTGTAAAAAAGGAAATCCCATATTGAAATCACATCCAGCTCATGCACTTCAGAGGCAGCCAGCAGAGCATGAAAGAAAAATTCCGCTTCAGCCCTTCTCAGGCCAGGTAATGCCATATCTAAAAGGAAGCTTCTCTTACAGAAAAGAAATCTGGAGAATATGACAATAGGATTTCCTGCAGATGCTGCACTTCAGCAGCCTGGACATCCGTTACAGACAACAGCTTTGCCCACACAAGGCTGGGACCACAAAATTAATTCACTCGATAAGTCTTATCCAAAATTCTCTTTATCATTTTACTAAGATCTGCCTACACGAAAGAAAACTTCAGCCTTCGATGTGTCTGGTGCTACATTTCACTTTTTAAACAAAGTCATACTCAAAATAAAGCTACTTCCAATAATTAGTTGAGAGAAAAATTATTTTCTTCCACTACATTGAAACAAGTTTTCTGATATTTTAGACTGTGAAACTGGGCAGATAGCCTTTGTGTAAAGCAGCAGGACCCTGGAGCAGCTCAGCAAGGAGCCAGAGGGCAGGCTTATCACCACCTTGAGCAGACAAGATTGTTACACCACACTCCCTCCCCTAGTGGCACTACAGCAGATGAATGCACTTTCCAAATGATTGCCACTGCGCAATGGGAGATGGGGGTAGTGCTGCTAAAGGGAGTGAAGGAAAGTACAAACAGCATTACAGAACAAACAATATTCTGCCAAAGCAATCAAAATCTGGCACCCGAGGAACCACTTCCCTGGCAACTAGCTTTTCCAGCTCTGCCTGATGCCCGTGTGACAGAAGCATTTCTGAAATAAGCTTCTAGATTGCAGTTCCTTCACCTACTTGAAAAATTCAGTTTTCTCCTCCTCAGATTTTAGTGTTAAGGTCTTCAGAAAGTTCACAACTTCCAGAAAATCATTCCTAAGCAAAAAAAAAAAAAAAAAAAAAAAGTAGATTGTCATTACTGTCACCAATGCTAACTCAGCACCTCAGCTGGAAGGTGATAATGCTTTCTTAATTTAAGGATCCTCTTCAACAAAGAGCCCTGTAATAGGTAGGGATCAAGTCCCATCAGCTAAGTAACATGCCTTCACTAAGTGAACACATTTGCAACACAGGAACAAGCAGTATCAAGAGGCAAGATATTTCTTTCCTTACCTGAAGAATTCGTGAGACAGTAAGCTGGACAGTGGGGGACGACACTTTGGATCTGGATTCAGCAGCGTACAGTGCAGGGTTTGCTGAAAGCTGGAGAGAATATCTGCTGAAACTGAAAGCCAGAGCACCTACAATTAGATTTCTCTCTCTCCACTGGATAAGCTATGCTCAGGAGTCTTCCACCTCTCCTGAAAACTTACTTTTAGAATCTTTTGATAGCAAAATGACTCATATTTGGTCCCAAAGGAAGAGAGAATCTCCATCTTTCTCCCTATGCTGCTGGTCTATCAGGGCACCAAGGAGTGCTACTGTTCTCTGAGAAGCTTCCTGCCCCTGCTCAGCTGTGGAACACAGCACCCATGTGCCATGTATTCACGTTCCTGAACACTCAGTGAAGTGTCTGGTGGGAGCAGAGCTGTGCAAATCTCTGACTGCTACAGAACAGATCTTGGAGCACTTGTGTTGTCTGATCACATTCAAACAGGGGAAAATGGGAATAAAGGAGATGCTGAAGTTTGGATTTCAAGCTAGCAAACACTAAGATCAGTGATGGCCACTAAACCTGCAGCACACATGTCAACTGCAGCAAGAGTTGCATCAGTTGACACACACAAGGGATAAACTGCAGTTGCAAATAAACATGTCATTGCTCACCCTGATCATTTAGGGCTGTCAGGAGATTTTCAACCATGGCTCCGAAGGCATAGGCATCCCTTGCATGCCCACAGCTGCTGGGCAGAATTTTGAAATCTACAGACTGAAAACAAAAGACAAAACCAAAAACCAAGATCAGCAAAGCAGGAGTTCACAATACTTGCCAGAGACCTCCATTCCCCTCCACAAATGCTCTCCAATTCTTTTTATAGCTCCAAAACTCTACCAGGTACCCAATAAGCAGAGCATTTTGCAAAAAAAAAACAACAACAAACCTCCACCAAGGAATTTAAAACCCAAAGGAGGAATGGCATCATGGTATAACAATTCCCACTGAATGCAGTCTGCAATTATAAGTCAACAACTTTCAGCATAAGCAGGGATAGGAAAATAAACCAGATATTATCCAGCAGCCGCCTCCTCCCATTCAGGCATAAGGAAACAAAGTGTCTGAATGAAAACTATTTTCTGAATAGGGTACTGTCATTGTCACCAGCAACAAGTTCCTCCATGAAGGCAGGCCACTTACCATCTCCTCACATGGGATGCACGACTGGTCTCGCACTGATTTGACATGACAGAGGAACTGGAAAGGGAAGAGGGGAGATGTGAGCTGCCTCCAGGGCCCATCTGGGCCAAGCAGCAGGAGTGAGTGAGCTCTCCCCACAGGCCAGGACTAACACATGCCCTTGCTCCTTCAGCTGGCAGCCAGGGCAGGCTGTGCTGTGCTCTGCACAGACAGGAAACGCTAAGAATGCATCAGGTATGAAGCACCAGGCTGACAGAAAGCTATTTCAAGGCACCACAGCCAACTGATTCCTTTATGTCTTAGGTCTCATCATCCATGATCCATCTGGGCAGGGGTAGGATATCATGACCTTTACCAGTCAGATTTTACTGCTGGGCTCTTTGCCTTGCTGTGCACCACCACACACACCAGTGTGCATCTGCCTGATCCCTTCTGAAAGGTGATACATGAGGGACACTGCACAGTTTGTGAAGGATTCGTGGACACTTTGAGAGAAAAGGCAACATACACACACTGCACAGTGCCAGGTTGCAGTAATGACTCTGCGCAGCATACAGCAGAAGTCAAACCAAGAATCTTTCTGCCAAGACCAATAAAAGCAATAAAGATGCCAACAGCAAAAGCTGAAGTCATTTAAATTATTCTTCTTATTGATTTATTTCAACTTGGATCTTCCTGCTCTGTTTTTTTTTTTTTTGTCAGCCCAAAGGAACAAGAGTTCTTCTCTGCAGTCCTCACCTACCCTCCAGCCAGCTGTCTCCCTTAGAAAAGTAGCTGATTTTGGGCTAGTGGGAATGAGTTTCAGTTTATCTAGATGACATGAATAGCTGTAGTGCTCCTGGAGCAGTGATTCAGCTGGGAGCTGGATGTGAGCCTTCCCAGTGCTGGCAGGCCAGGAGCCCCCTCCCAGGCACTGGAGGGGTGTGCTCTGCTCGGCTCTTACCTCTGGGGTGGCTTCATTAAAGCCACAGACTGTTTCCATTCCTCCCAGTTTCCAGTGCCCGTCCTCGCTTACAAACACAGACGATAAACAGACGTTGTTATGAGTGAGGTTTCCCTAAAACATAAGGAAGAATGACATAAGATGAAAAATTTTAATTAGAGCTAATGAGGAACCAAAGAAAAGCTACCAAAAAGGACACAATTCTACATGCCCTTTGGGATTTTGTAGGCGACCAGCAAATATCACACTGAAGTGCTGGACTTTTAGAGCACACACAGTTCCAACTGTGACTGCCTCTACAGAGCAACTGTAAATCCAAAGAAAACCTCCAGCTAATGAACAAGCTCAAAAATTTCAGTCTGAGTTGGAATTTACGTTCAGTCCTGGACACACACAGTACCAGAACAGGGAGCAGCGACACCAACCTCTGACACATGGCAACAGTTGTAAACAAATACAATGGCTGAGCAATCCCCCTCCATAAGTGTGAAGCACTGCAAGCAGCTCACCATTTACAAACCTTACTTCCTAAAGCCATCTTATTTTCAATTACCCTTCCTTCTAAAAAGCAGTCAACAATTTTAGCAGTTTCAGCCTAAAAGAACTGTAAAATTCAGGTGTAATGCTATAACGTGATGGAAAACAAAGCAGTGACAGTGGGGTAGCAGAGTCCCAGACTGCAGCAAGTGAGGAAGAGCTCAAGTGCAGCAGCCGTGGATGCAGAAACAAAGGAAAGAATCTGCTTACCTTTGGAAGGCCTCAGTTAGGCAAGAATCTCCAGCAAGATACCCCTGCCCCCCCCGACCCGTGCCAACCCTTAAATGAGGTCTGGGAAGGGGTGGATCCTGGCTCCAGCTCTTCTGGTCACTCAGGTTCATTGTACACATCTGAGCTCCCCTGGGTTGGCCCTGCCAATCACCCAGTTCAATCACTGCTTCAGGCTGTGACTTAGCATTTCTACTACAGCAGGTGAGTGTGTTTGCAAGGAGTTAGGAATGAGAGTCATCCAGGCAAGCCCAGCTACAGCACTCCCCAGCCACACCACTTCTCGCTCCCACCAAAGCCTGGTGCTGCTGGTACCTACCCTGTCATGGAGGAAAGTGAGTGCCAGCAGCACGTCGTAGATCCCTGCGCAGATCTCTGCAGAAGAAAGTGTCTCCAGGACCATCTCCAAAGGCTTCACACGTTCAGTAACCAGGTGGATCCCATTAGCTTCCACAGTGCAAGAGAGGAAGCGCAGAAGGCATGGGTGGCGCAAGGTTTTCAGGTGCTTCCAGAAACAAAAACATCTATTACATCCCATCCAGTCATCTGCTGGCTGCAGAGCTTAGCCACATTTCCTACATGAATCTAGACAGCCAACCCTGCTGCTCACCGAGCACTCAGCACATTGGCTCATTGCAAAGTACTTTATAGCACACCTGGACACAGAAGAATAAATACAATACTTTGAGACTGGCTAAGAAAGGCTCTCTGATTTTTAGATTTGCAGGAAGAGATCAGCACTCTGAGAATGCCTGCAGGTGCTGTTATCTGAACACTGCAGGAAGAGCTTTGCAGCTGCTGACCCCCTTCTCCCCTACCACACGGCCAGGGATAACCCTGATAACTCCTTCCCTCACCCCTAAGGCTTTGGCCCTCATTAACCACTTCCCACCTCTCCAAGAAGAAGGAGGCACAGCTCTGACAAGTCTTTCCCAGCACAGTACCTTGGCAGCTTTATTAACCATGTCCTCGTTCTCCTGCTTGTACACAAAGACAGAAGCAAGCTTGCCATCTTGCAGCACAGCCGGGTAAATGGTGTGTCCAGTTGGCAGCACAAACGGCGGCTCTTCCAGCGTGTAGCTCTTTAAAGCACTGTTCTCCGAGCCCATCACTCGCCGAGTTGGGCCGCTGGAGAGGTTCCTTCTTGGTGACAAGCGGGTCCTTGGGCGGAGGAAGAGTTTTTCAGGCAGACTGAGATGAGGCAGGCACTGTCCTGTTCAATTTCAGAGCATTTTCTGCAAAGCATGAGAAACCATGAAGAACCTCATCCTATCAGCTATCTAAACCAACAACAAAAAGAGCCTCCTAGACTCAACGTGTTACGATCCAATATAATAAACTATCCCAACTGCACAGCCAACTAGGCAGCAGGAAGATTAGCAAGGAGCAAAATGGGACTCTTTCAAGAGTGTTCTTTACGGAGGAGACCGCACCTCCACAGCCCCTTGCTCACGTCTCATCTCCCCATCTCACCTCCAGCCACAGCTCCGCAGCCGGCACAGCTCCCGCTGGGCTCCGTGCTGGGAGGAAGGAGCCACAGGGACACATTTGCTATGGGAACCTGAACGCAGTTCAGCTTCTAACTGATGTAACAGGGCTCAACGTGCCGCACGGCACCAAGCGAGTGCGCAGCCACAGAACTACTGAGGTTGGAAAGAGCACTAAGGGCAGCTCATCCACACCGATTCCCTTCGTGTGAACGTTAGGAAAGAGACAGAACTCGGGCTCGCAGCTTCCGAGCGCCACGCGGAAGGGCGGCAGGAGGGAAACAGCGCAGCCTGGACGTGTCTGCAAGGCCTTCCGTGTGAGCTGCCCGGCGCAGGCAGGGCTCACAGCGCCGAGACCACGGCGGGGCTGTTCGCCCACCCCGTAACCCCGCTCCTCCCGGCACAGCCGCGGGCGTCTGTTTACCCACGGCGGCGGCCGGAGCCGCGGCAGCACAACGCCGGTTGTCAGCACAACGCTTCTGACACCGACGGGGAGCGCTTGTGAGGCTGACACGAACTGCAGCCACACAACCGCACCGTGAGAAGACACCCCGTCATTACGGGTCACGGTGCGCACGGCCGGGCCGCCGCGCTCAGCGCCGGGAGCTGCCGCTCTGCCCGGCACCCGCAGAGCGACCGCCTCGCAGCCCGGACGCGGCCACGCGCGGACGGCGGCGCCGGGCCCGCACCCCCTGCACCCAAGGCGGCGGCGGCAGCGGCGGCGGCTCCGGGCCCGCCGCGAGGTGCCGACCCCCGTCCCGACCCCCGCCGCACCTGCTCCCGGCCGGCCCGACGGAGCCGCCTCCCCTGCCCCGCCGGCCGCTCGCTCCCTCCCGCACGGCGCGGCCGTCGACTCCGCTTCCGGCAGCGGCGCGAGACGAGGAAGGCGGGAAGAGCGCCGCCGCGCGCCGCGAGCGCCCCCTGCCGTCCCGGAGGACCCGCCGAGCGGGCGGCCGCCATCTTGGGCGAGGGCAGGGCGGCCATTTGAGTTGTGGGCGAGCGGGCTCCTCCTCCGCTTCGCCCTGCGTGAGGCCGCGCAGGCCGGGACGCCTTCCTCGGAACCATTAAAACTATCCGCTGCCGTCGGTGCGGAGTGAACGGCTCCGGGGAGAGAGACTGCGCGTGAGTACGCCGGACGGCAGGGGGAGCGCTGACAGCGGCGAGCGCAGCGCGGCGGGCGGGCCGGGCTTTAAGGTGGCGCTGGGCTGTGCTTCGCGCCGCCGCTTCGAAGGGCGGTTCGGAGCGAGGAGGGCCGGCGGCACGGCCCGACCCACGGCGGTGTGCTTTAAGGTGGTCCGAGCCGCTCCGTAACTCGGCTCCAGCCGTCCGGCACGCGTTGCACTCCGCGCTGTCCCACGCTCCATAGCGACGCTCGTTCCGCCCGCTGCCCGCAGGCCGCCCAGCAGCGCGGTGTGGCGGCTGATGGCCTCACCGAGCGCGGCGTCGTTCGAGAAGCAGAGCGAGGCTTTAGCTGTCCCCTCTGCACGTGCGTCTGATGGCAGAGAGGCGCTGTCAGACCCAAACGACTGCGGGCAGAGGCAAAAAGCAGGCAGGGAAGTAGGCCGGTGCTCTCCTGAATCTCATTCAGAAGGGAGCCGGCCACAGCAGCTCCAAGGGCTGCGTGAGCAAGTCAGCCTCACTGTCTTTTATCTGTCCTGACAAAGCCGGAGCTGTTCTCAGAGCAGGGTTTAATTTACCAATGGTGTATTACAGGAATTCCATCAAGGAACCTGCCAGAGGGCCGTGGAATCTGTCATATCCAAAAAGAGCTTGTCCTGCTTGTTCCAGAAGATACATCTTGTTCCTCTTTAATTTAATCCAAAATGGATTAAATTCAGCAGAATCGCGGCAATCTCATCTCAGAATGAAATACACGTGTTGAGCTGTTAGCAGGCAGCACTGTATGTACACAGCGGTTTAAAAGACTGCATCAGGTCCTTCCCTTTGGGCTGAGGACATTCATTCCCTTCTGCCCTTCTCCACCCCGCGTTGCCCGGTAACCTCCTTAATTTCAAACAGATCTTAGGGTGCTGCATTAAGTAAAATATCTCTGAAAGTACACTGTAGAGCTGTAGAAAGCCTGAGTAATAGCTACCAGACATACAAACTTCTCAGCCTATGCTTATTTCACTGTGCTATTAACTTTACAGCCTGATTACATCTAAAACACCTGCACAGCCAAGCTCATCAATTGATTAGCAGCAGAGAGCGAAGGAGGATATCCCAATGACAGGGAGCCCTGCTGTAGAGGGAAGCAAAGGGGAGCAAATCAAAGTCAGGAAGAGAAATGAGGAAAAGGTAGGCAGTGCAGAAGAAGTAGAAGTTGCTAGAAGAAAACAGATCCCTCCTTGTCCCGCTTTATGCAGGATACACCACTCAGGGACTGAATCCCCAAATGCAGATAATTAAAAAGTTACCCTACAGGTCAGATGAGCGTAGGGTCTCCCTCTGACACCCACAGGAAATGTGATATAGATTGAAAAATGTATGTGCTCATATCTTTTTTCCCCTTTCTGGCTCAGGAACCGTAATTAAAGAGAAAATGAGGCTCTCTCCCACCGTAGAGAATATAGTGGCACAGCTGGTTTTCATCTTGGCTAGCAGGCTCTGTCCTCAGGCTACCAAGTGCTGAGTAATTTTTACCAAGCTCTGCTTGCAGATAAATGATGTTCTTCTCTTAGCTGCTGCCAGGCAAAGCTACAAGTACTTGATCTTTTATTCTTTTCTCATAAACTCCTAACATTGAATACTAAAAATGCAGCCAGAGATTTTTCCACTGCCATTTATTCTCAGCGTGGTCACAGCTGTATTACAATTACAGACACCCACCCATTTGCTGAGGCTCAACTGCAGTTCCTCGTTAACCTTGAAGCTTCCAATTAAAGGCTCCTTCAGTTTCATTGATAGTTTGAATATGCTCTAAGGACTCACTTTTTTCCTCCCCCTCCACTCAAAACACATTCTGTGAGGAGGGTAACCACTTTAAATAACTTAATGCTGATTTTCTGGAAAATCCTGATGTGGGGGTACCAGTCCCAAAAAAAGAAAGCCTGTGTCTGACTGCAGTTTGGATGATTCCTCTCACAGGTATAGCTATAAAATACCTGAAAGGGTCCCACTAAACGTGGCACAACTGCCAGGCAGATGGAGCGTAGGTTCAGGCCAATGAAAAGTATCACACGTCAGTTTAATTCACATTTTCGGCAGTGTTTCTAGAGAGAACTTAAATCTTCTAAGAAATTGCACATGAATTAGTTAACAATTGTGTAGAAAATTATTTTAAAAATAGTAGTTAATCTTGGCAAGGCTGCTCTTCCACCTACCTCCAGTAAGTGGAGCCATGAACGTGAAGCCAGCGCAGGGTGGAGGCTGAAAACTTGTAAGAAACACCAGGACTAATTTTAGAATCATTTCCAGTCACACAGAATGAAACCTGGTGAGCAGCAGTGCATATGAAGGTACCTGCACATCTTCCAAAAGCAAGGCTTAAGAACAATCCTGATTTCAAAGATATTAAAGGTATAAAGTAAATACAAACTTAATGAACAACCACCTTCCTAGCATATACACCATTTGTAAGGGACTACTGCTTCTGTTCTGGTAGTGCCAGCCCCTCATCCAAGTGTGTTTGCTGTTTGAGCTGGGTTTGTGGAAGAGAGGATGGGCACAATTCTGCAACTCAATAGGCATTTAAAACTGATGAGCTGGAAGTAGCTTTTCACTTCAAAAGGGATCTGAACTGCTTTCAAGATAGTGGCATGCAGAGAGCATCGTCTGTACGCCTGCATCCATCTGTTACGGGTGAGGGTACAAGATTTTAGCCTAAATTCTGCTTTCACATAGCACGTTTCAAACATGGCTCAGTGTCACCACAGCACTGCTTGTTTATGTCTAACTTGTCTTGGATTGTCTGCTGCTCAGTCCATGCTCTGTGCTTAGATCTGGTTTAAACCCATGTGAACAAGTAGGCCAGGATACAACCGTACTTAAGGATAGAGAAGCTGGGGGGAAAGACTGCACCTGGATTCTGAAATGAGCTACAGTACTTTTTTTTTTTTTTTTTTCCCCACCTTGCTAGACCTCAGGATGTTAGGGGATGTTTTCTCTCAACCTACAGGAGTGTTTCAACACTCACAGTAAAGGTAATTTTTTGTGTGCTATGGTTTCTAATTTTAAGTTTTCTACTAGACTGTAAATGCCTGAAGCCCAAAGGCAGTGAATCTGTGCCATCTTTCCATTATTAAAGTCATCAGGCCAAAGACCAGACTGCAGTAACTGTGTGTCAAGGCAGTGCCAGGAGATGCTGGGGCTGAAGAGTGTTCGTGTTACTCAAGCATTAGAGGGAAACAGCCCACGTTAAACACTTCACATGAAGCATTCCTCTTAAACACTTTGGAAAATAAACAAAACATGGGTTAGAAATGCATTCACCACATCCGACACTGACCACACAGGTTTTTGTATTTAATAGAAATTAAATTAGTAGCTTAATATACATAACATGACACTTCCCAGACCAGCAGCTTTTCAATACTTGCTTTCAAGTCACAGAGCAAATCCTGTACAAAAAAGGTATTAAAGAGCAACTGAAGAGTAACACAGTCACTATGACAGCAGACCCAGAAAGGCTGGGGTTATCTGGAGCTACACACGCCAAAGGATACATAACAACAGACCCGTTGTGGTACAACCATGCACTACCAAGGGACAGATCTACCACCTGCCATGCACACGCTGGTCCCTGCAGGCAGGGAGCAGCAGCCCGGTGCTTCATCGTGCTCCATAGCCGTAGTAGTAAGGCTCATCAGGGCGGTAGCCATACGCAGTTGCTGGACGGCCAGGAACTCCTGGGGACTGACCAAAGCCATCAACACCGACACTGTAAAAAGAAGGGAGAGAAACTATAAGAAACTTCAGCTTGTTGTGTGGTGGGGAAGGTACGCTGCTGCTGGGTGCTCCAACTCTTCCAACTTAGAGGCAGCTTAGCGTCTTCCTCATCCTAGCCAGCACTGCTCCGTCCTTTGTCCTGGTAAAACAGAAAAGCTGCAGAGAAATCAACAACTCTTTTCCAGGAAAAGGAAGCCTAGGAAAAAAAAATAAAAAATCCCTGCATGAATTCCTTCTTGTTTTCTGAAGGTGAGGCAACGGCAAATGTGCATTGTGGAATTAAACAGCTTCTCGTGAGCTGCTTTCGACTTTCAGCTCAGAAGAAAACCCCTAAAGAAACAGAACTCTTCTTTTACGGATTTACCAGAAAAGCTTTGCTTCTGTGACTCAGTTTCTCCACCTGTACACTGAAGTTGATGTGTTATTTCTGGAGACGCTTCAAGTACACATCTTGCAAAGCCCACTGGTAGCCCTGTCCCTACACAGCAGATCTGAATAATCCAATTTTCTTCCAGAAACAGTGCATTTCTGAAGCCCTAGGGCACAGAGCAGTGAGAAATGCGAAAGTGACAATATATGGCATAGCAACACAGTTCAGCGAAGGACAATGTTTCTAGTGGGTTACGAGACCGACAGCCAAATGGCAGAAAGAATTCATCAAATACTTGAGTAGCTGTATTCTAATGAGACACAATGAGCCATTTGTCATACAGAAGAGCATCTTTTACACCTAAAAGTCCCACAGCACGAGAACTGTGTAGGGAAAAGTGGCACATATTTCATGCCCAACAATAACTCTCATGCAGGAGGTAGAGGGAAAATGAACACTGCTTAAGACACTGGATTAATGCCTATTCTTAGCTGTGTCACTTTTAAACTTCCACTTCAGCTGGACAAATGGAAAAGAATTCTAATTTATTTCTAATTTATTGTCTGACTAAAGACGCATTGAAAGAAGTTGAACTTCCCTTCAGAAGACTGTCAAAACACAAAGAACCAAAGTGCTTTTGGAGTGGGGAAAAGCTGAACCTCATTACTGCCAATTATACATATGGAACATGGGTTATGCAACAGCCAAGGCCTGGGAAAGAATGACCCATCCAGAAGATGTACAATGGGTGGGCCCCAGGCCCTGACTCACCAAAAAGCTGGCACTGCCCAACTGGTTGGGCTGAAAGGGTTCAGCTGTAGCGCTGGGGAATCCTGTCCAAGCACTTTGTCCTTACCAGTGTATTTTTCTCATGGTGCCTCTGGGAGGGCCTAGGAAAGGACCCCACGTGCCCCGTTTCTCAGGAAACCCATTCCCATATGGGATACTCTGATCATCCTCTGAGAGAGAGGGAGGGAACAACCAAGAATCCCAAAACCATTTTGTTTCACCTAAATGTTTCTGGAGGAACACAGTGCCCTGAAAGCACGTTGCTATTTCCACGCCTGCCTGTCTGTATTTGAATTGGCAGAGCCTCTGTCTCAGAACTTGTACGTGGAGCCATCAGTCTGACCCTACATCTGAGCGGTCCCTTCTGCAGAGCAAAGGGAAGCAGAGCAGCAGTGCTGGCAGCACAAAGCAGTGCACACACATGGCTGTGGTTCTGCGCTCTCCTCCGTCCTCCCATTCCTTCCTACAAAGACCAATTACTGTTTTTTCAGCCCATTCTGAAACAAGCTGCTGACATCTGGGATGCCTTCTCCAGCTCCCTCCTTTATACCGGCCATACGACAGCTTCCTCCTTAGCAGACCCGAAGCCATAGAAGACTCCTGGAAGAAGGGATTACAAGAAACCTCATTACTTCCTTGGTACCTCACTCTTGTTTCCAGGCACACCGAACATTGCACTCCAACATCTGCCATCACAGCCCCTCGGTCAGAGGATGGATGGTCCTCTGTTAATCCATTATTTGTGACAAATACGGGTGTGGTGCAGGGACATCGCCCAGCCACGGGGTGGCAGTGGGTCTCTATCCCTGCAGCTGGAGCTATCCCAGCTATTTCCAGTTCAGCCATCCTCAAAGAACTTTTAAATATACTTAAATTGATAAAGAGAGCAAGGAAAATATGGTTTCAATTACATTCTCAGCAAATCATTGTTTTATATATATATTTTTTCCCTTTATAAATGTGTAAGTAATTAGGTAGAGATCCCCAGAGTTTAAACTTTGAGAAGTATCAGTTATTTCCAAATGGTTTAGACATATGTTGGTGTCCTGAAGAAAACTGGAAGAGATGGATCAGCTGATAACTGCTTTGGACAGTTAAAAAAAATTAAAAAAGAAAGAATAGAAAATTACATTAAGACACCTCGATTAAATCACTACTCTCTCCAAATATTTCTCATCAGTAAATGAATGCTTGTCCGTGCTTCAAAAACAAAGCTGGCTTCATTTTTACATCTTAGTACTCTTGAAACATACCAGCTTCACCTATTTGATTGTTTGGGCTGACAAACATAGCCAAAAACTTGTTCTCATGGATGAAGGAAAGATTATTGAGCCTGGGCAACAAAACTGCAAACACATGGCTGTGCACTGAAGTCTTGCTTTGGCACAGGGCTGGCAGACCAAGAGCAGTGCCTCCGTGAGCATAACCCATGGAGCTGGACACAGGGATGGAAAACCAAGTCCTGCTGAATGCTTGCCACCCCTGCCAAGAACAGCAGAAGGGCACAGCCAGGAAAGATGGTAGCTTTCAGCTGTAAACACTTGTTGGCTAATGGTTGGCCTGAGATGGTGATTTGTGCCATGTGCTCACAGATTTATACCAGCAACCAACTTCCAGACTTGCTCCTAGGTAAAATGTGGTGTTGGCATTATTTATACAGCATCTACATGGAAACTGTGCTCAGTGCATGGTTCAGCTGAGCAATCCCTGCACTTGTATAATAGATATGCACCATACAGCATCATAGCAGACTTCTCAGATAAATTAATTACACAGCTGCCTTAATCTGCCAGTTATTTACAGGAGTTTTTTCCTCACAGCATCACGTGTGCATGCAGAGGGATCCGCGCTCACTAACCCAGCATAACTGTCTGCTTTTGCGAAGTTTGCGAAGTTTATCACCACGCCTGGAGCTGACGGAGTTAAACAGTGAACAGCACAGTTAATTACTATGTACTGCTAACCTCAGTTGCTGGTTCATTTTGAGACCCTTTAAAATATGAACTGTGTATTTTACCCCTATGCACTCTCTTAATGATTTGTTTTTTTTAGACTGAAATCACTTCCAGCCATCAGTTATACTCGCGGTCTCTACACATGCACTTCTCCAAGCACAAATATTTCTTTTTCCTATTGGTCTGCCAGCCCCTGTCAGAGCAAATTTCACTTTAAACTAAATGCTATGATACTTAAAACCTCTTGGATTATTCGGGCTGCTAGTGTGATCTATGACCTTCCCCAAATGACAGCTGAACTTTCCAATTTGCTTGTACTGCTGGGGAACTGAAGAACACATGCTGAAGAGGAAAATGTTCCTGATGTGCACAAGTGAGGAGAGATTTCTTAACAGCTCTGCTTATTGATACTCGCCCCTGATTCCTAACATCCAAATTAACCCACCCATCTTGTATCCTGGGTGCCCTGACATCATTTAAAAGAGACCAACCTAGAGCAGGAAACACCAGCTAGCATCCCCCAAAATCCTCCCTTCCCTTCCCTTCCCTTCCCTTCCCTTCCCTTCCCTTCCCTTCCCTTCCCTTCCCTTCCCCATTCCCAGAGCTGCCAAGATGTGACAGGCTTTGTGGTTTGTCTGGGAGCCTCAGGCAGGACACACTGTGCCAGCAGCCCTCCGTGGACATTCCCACAGCAATCTGCAACTCACGTGGACCTGGTGCAGGCAGGGAGGTTCTTGAGGTTGGCACTGTGATCATCAGCACCTGGGTGCAACTGACCACAGAGCAGAGCTGCTTTCTGGAAGTTTTCCTGATGCAATAGACACCTGAGCCTGTCTGCACTAGCGTTCACACTGTTAACGGTGCTGGTGATGACAAGCTGCTCTAAAATGGGTACTAATTCCTCCGGCATAAGCAGGGCCTCAGAAAGGCAAGTCCTGAGTAAAAAGCAGCACCTTGACGTCCAACTAGAAACCCACAAGTGGAATGCATATATCTTAGAGCAAACCCAGCAAGAAACACTGCTTGGGAAAGAGGCATGCAGCAGTACAGCAAGGATCGTGCCCATAAGAAAGAGGGGGTGGCTGCCTGAGCAGGTGAGCATGGCCCAGGAAGACAGCCTTAACCTTTGTGGGTCAGTTATCACTTCAGGAGCTTGCATTTCAGAACCTAAATTTCTTTCAGTTTCATGGTTGTAAGCCTACAGTTAAAACACCCTGAAATCAGTGACCACTGAACATGAAGTCAGAGATAAATGTTACTTGAGCACATACAGCACTTCCACCTCCTCTACAACTTCAGCTGTTTCTCTTTTCACTCTAACCCTGTTCAAAAGCCCCATCTACCCACTCCTGATTCTGCATCAACAAGGCTCACACCAGGCTTGTGCCCAAGAGACTCTCAGCTGCTCAACAGGGATACAAGTTTTGGAGTGAACCCAGGGTCTACTCCTTCTGGTTGCATAGGTGAATTGCTTCCACCTGTGCTCCCAGGGCTGGTTATGCCCCTTCATTAGGTGCTCCATCACTGGTTCAGGCCATGACCTAACAGCTCCCATAAGACAGCATGCAGGCTCTTGTTCATCACAGGCAAAAAAAGCAGAGCTAATGGTGGTGGCTATGTGGAAAAAAACTTGTAGCTGAGAATTTGCTTAGTGCTATTGTGCTCTTTGTATCTGTTGTTGTTTCCATAAAAGTAAGTAGGAGGCATTACTTTTGGAGTGACCTACATATATATGCTGCCCAAAACAACTGCTCTTCACTCAGCATGACCCAAGGCAAGGCAGAAGGTTGGACACCCATACCTTACTGTCTTTAAAAAACAGTTGTAACTGTCAAAACAGCCCCCATGTGTCCCCCAGACAGACATTCAGTTTGGTGCAGAGCATCCCCAGAGTCCTAATGTCTCATTTTTGTGAACCTACCAGTGTTTGACAGCACTGTTGATAACATATGGTACAGTTACCATCCTACATTTCCATATAAACTTCCATGCCATAAACCCATCATCTCTAATGCCGTATCAAGTTCCTGTGTATAACAGAGTAAGCTACATTCAAACCAATAAAGGCTGTATTTTTCCCCTCGGCAGGTACCAAAGCCATGGAAATGGAGCACCAGTCCAGATTTAAGACAAGCACAGCATTATAACCTGCCTAACTGAGATGCTGCTTAGAGACTGGAATACTCACCAATAAGAACTGCAAACTTTGTGGATTTTCCTCTCTTTCTGTTGATATTTGCTACCAACTAAAAAAAAAAAACACACCATGAAACAGTAGATGTTCCCTCTGCTCAGAGTGCAGTGATTGAGAAGATGACTCTCTGAGAAGATGATTTACTTCTTTGTGCCAGCTACTACTTTGGTTTTGCTTCACTGGCCATAAATTTTCTGTCCTTCAGAATAAGAACATAAACCATCAGTTATAGAGAAACAGCATACAACTGAAAAGCCTTAAAAACACACAGAAAAACCTAATGTTCTGTAACTGTAGATTCTCCCACTACTGGTAATGACGTTAAACTATAAACCACAAGTCTCTTAAATTCTGTCTCTCATGGCCCCACTTTCTCCCCTATCTGTGAAGCTTTTTTTCCATACTTTCTATCCCTCAAGCTCAAGTGGGAGAGCTCTGTGGCAGAGACTCTGCCTACACACACTAGATCTGCCTCCACATTAGCATTCCAATACTAATCTTCGTTTAATAATAACACTGCATCTGCTCAAAAGATAAGAAATGTCAAAAATGAACCTGCGTAGTGCTAATTTAGCTCCCTTGTACACAATGATACAGCTTCTATGGATGTGATCATGGCTCTCCTTCCCTGTGATCCAGTTTTCTTCACTGCAGTTGATGACTTAAAGTTTCCAGTTGTTTCTGGACTTGGTGCCCAGTTGTATCTCAGCACAATGCCACTGCTTCTTCCATGTAATTATAAACAAATGCAAATCTGACAATTGCAGATAAGTGAGCACTGTGTCTTCTGTGTCAGGCTCCAGCTATGCATCAAGCAACAAGCATGCTAAAATTCACAGGTGGGAAGGCAGCATTTAAAAGCTAGATTAACAAATAAATTTCCAACTGAATGGCAAGAAATGGTAGAAAAGCAACCAATCCAGATTACAGCCCACTCAGCTGTTTCACACAGCCATCAGGCATCAGAGTAACTCTGCTAACACTCCCTCACCCAGCCTTACAGCTCCACCACATGGCAGGGAGTTTCTCAGCTTTCAAGTGTGCAGTCAGAGCTGGAATGGGAAGCAAGAGTTCTGTCTTTCCATTGTAAGCCTGACCGAAACATCTCCTGTGCTGTTGGCTCAACATCTGGCCAAACCCACTGATTAGATATAGCCATTTCTAAAAAAATTAATTAAAAACTAAAACAAATAAAAAAGCCCTGAGAAGTAGGCAATAAAAGTCAAGGAAGATATCTTTTCTGTCTTTTCCTCCCCCGCTCTCCTTGGGCAGGCCAAAGTACGTGTGTCAGCTCCATAAACTGAAGATTACATTGCCTTAACCTTAACCTAGTAATACATCTGGCTTGAGACAGTTTTGGGCCTCTTTTACTGAGCTTCAGTGATGTCAGTTGGGTACAGAAGTTTCAGCCAACAGCCTGACCAGAATGAGATCCTGAAGTGGCAGCTTCACAGAGGTGACTTCTCACTGACCACATCAGCTTAGGATTGGTCCGCATCTTCCACATGCTTCTGAGCAGCCTTCCACTTTCCAGATGAGAGGTGTTTCTGCTTCCTGTGCTGTGTAATAGAGCAAGCAAATGCGCTCCCAGATAAGCTGTTGGAGTGGAAATACAAGTTCTCTGTGCCCTGAACTGAAGCAGTCCTAGCCAAACAATTATTCCTTTTATCTACACAAGCTCCTCAAACCCAGGCACTGCCACTTAGCTCTGCTCTTCACAAATGGGAAAAAGCATTCCCTCTTGTGCACAAACACCCCAAGCCACGACAACAGGTTGCTGGCTGATAGGCGTGCTGCCTGCAGGGCTCAGCACCAAGAGCCAGGCAGCTCAGCAGGGAGGATAATCCAGATGCTGGAGCGAAGGAGAGAGAGGAAAAAAAAATCTGCTTTGCTTTGATTTACAGCTGTGGCCAATAAAAGCTTTCAAAGTCTCTTCTGCAGGTTAACGTTACTCGGGATTTGCAGTGTTCACTAGAGCACACAACGCAAGGGGAGCATTATTACCAATACACAAACATGAAATGTTTTTGCCACCAAGGATGGTTATGGAGATTTGAACCAGTTCTGTTTATCAGCACAGGACTCCACTGAAGCCTTGTCAAAATTCATCCCTAATCAGCCATCATTTCAGTGTAAATCAAAAAGGAAGTCAATCTCAATGTCTCTTAGCACTTTTTTCTCCCCCTAGCATTGGCTGTGAGGGAATGAGCCAGATAGGCACAGATGTTGCATATTTTCTTAGAGATCTCTATCTTGGAGTAGTATTATTATGCACAAATTTTTAACTTTGAGCAGAATGAAAATAAAACGTATCCATACTAAAAGTTGGGTAGGGTGCCTTGGAAAAAACAGGGACAAAGCTTAAAGGACTTAAAAGCCAGAAGGCAAATAAAGGCTTCAAAACTTCTGTTTTAACTTCACAGTTTAAAGAAGTCTTCCAGTTCTCTGGAGGAAAGAGAGGGGAAGGATGGGTCTGTCACCATACACACAGGGCTGAGGCTAATAAAGAGATTTACAATCAACAGAATTCCAGCAGTTTGGCAAAAGAAATGGATATGTTACATTAATTTGTATACCAGGGACTTGTTTGCAGCACACATTCGGTTCAGACAACAACCATTAGAAATATCCCACTGATATATGGGACATAAAACAGCCTCATTGCAGGTTTCATTTTGAATCCTGTGAGCACGCTTATGCACAGCACACAAAACACCCTTCACTTTATTACAGTTTTAAATCTTTCTTCCAGGTCTGGCCTCGCAACCGCTTGTCTTGATAAAATAGGTCACTTGAAAAAGGAAAGCTCAATAAAACGAATTACAAAAACAACAAGATTAAACTGATTGTGCTGTTTTTGTACAGTGCAGCTGAATTCTGCAAATATGCTGCTGGCTGTGGTTTGGCATTTAACAGCATGCGATCAGTGAGAAGGAGGAAATTTTATTCTCATTAACTGTTGCAGATTTACTGCAGTGAAAAAGGGCTATGTAACCTGAGAAGTGACAGAATGGAAAGATCAAAGCAGCAGTCTGGAAACTAAATAAACCTTCTGGCTACTTCCTGCAAGGAAAATTCACTCTGGCAATGTAAAACAGAGTCCAGTTAAAAACTACTCTCAGTTTTATGAGCTGTCACAGCAGCTTGAGTGGTTTGGACCAGTCAAGTTTAGAACATTATATTTCCTTGTTTTTGTCTCAGATACTTCTGTAAGCAGTTTTATAGTTTCTTTTTCTTTTCTTTCTTTTTTTTTTTTTTATTTTAAAAGAGAAAAATAAAATTCTTCTCTTTTGGTTGAAATCGAGAAGGTCACAGCTAAACTCATTAAAAACAGGCAGGTCTTCATTTGCACATTCCATTCCCATTTACTACGTTTTAATATTTTACTTTGAGATTTATAAGCAATGTACATTTGCTTTAATAACTCTTCCGCATTCTGTTCACTTATTGTTTAATATAAGTGCAAATCAGTTTACAGAGCCCAGATGGCTTGTAAGCAGGGAGCCAGTCTATTCCTAGCAGCACATCTGGAGGGACTAGAGTGGCAGACAGAACGTGGGAATTAATTAATGTTACATTTCTGAAGAGACAGACTCAGGTTTGGGGGATTTTTTGGTAAGACATTCCAAAGCAGTTGAGCTAACTGCTGCTGCATTTTGGCATTCTTTTAACATTCTTAATAGCCACCTAAACCGTGCTGGTTAAATGAGGCTAACTGCAGGTGGAATATAATAAAATACAAAGCAACTAAAAAAAATGTAAGAGACGACTGCGAGTGAAAGAGGCCCCAGCATCTGATATTCTAAAGGAGCTGGAGTGCATTAAAACCTCAATGCTAACTCTTCCCAAACGACATCTGCACCATGCTGAAGGGAAAAAAAAAAAAAGAAGTCACACCTTTAAAATATTCCTAAGCAAGCTATTTCACCTATTAGCATACTAGGGCAATTGTTCAGAACAATTAAATAGCCCTTACAGTAAATTAAATGAGTGCAACACGATCCTTCATGATTACAGACCACACACCTCGGAGCAGTGGTGTGGTCTGGTCACAGAGCAGTGAGCAGTAAGGAGAGCTCTGCTCTGCTGGAGGCTCCGGCACCTGACTTTGGATGAGAAACCTCTCCTTGCCTTTGGGCCCCTGCACACCTTGGGCTCTTGGTGGCCAGGGTGGTTTGCTGCGCTGCGGACATCAGCTGCGTGCTGGGAAGCTTCTCCTGGTACAGACTGAGAACACAGGAATAATAAAAAAGCAACCAAGCACATCAAGAAAAGTGCTGTATAATAAATACCATTTAAGAAGAACATTGGCTTTATTTGGCTATTCCCAAATCAAGGTGGTGCTGGAGCCATTCCTTTGTGCTACAGTAATCAAAACCCCTACAGGGCAGCCGATCCTTACCACTATCTTTTAGATGCAAGATCTTCACTCCATGCATTTATAACTCCTGAGCAGATGCTGTTTTGATGAATACAAAGAAATCTCTTGCACACAAGCAGATCATAAAGGCTGCACCAACCAACTCTGCATGCATCATCGTGTCAAGCCATACAGAGCTGCATCTGAAATTTAGTGAAAACTTCCTGATCACATCCAGTTTACCTTCTTAAAAAAACTTAACATACAGACATTACAACGGAATACAGTAAAAAAAAAAATACAACAGCTACAAACTAACAATATTTTTGTGGGTTAAAAGAAAACAAACAGAAAACCTTACTTATCTCAAGAAACTTCATTGGTTCTGGGCCTCTCTTTAAGGACTTTTCAATTTCATTTCAGTGGGATTTACAATTTGCTAATACCGATGTGTGATAAACTAATAAAACTTGCCTACAAGGTTATAGGCCCAATTTACTAGTAAAAACTAATTCAATTCTCTTGGGAAATGCAAATTAAATAGCATCCAAATGGTAGAAGCTGAGTACAACATTTTCTCTGTGTTGCAAAGAAAACATGGGGCTTTTGGTATTGTTTTGGTTTTTAGATAGAGCTTGAATATGGAAAACAAAAAGTAAAACAGAACTAAATGACATCACTGCAGTAAACATCTGAAAGCAGAATCATATTGTAATAACAATTTACACTCTACTGGCTTCTAGTTCCATTGATTGAAAAGTTTTATACTTCTCTACATTCACCTCTGAGTCCCACCTCTAAGGCAGAAAAGCATTCAAATAAGGAGGAATGGAAGATGCAGATATGGTCATTTCTGGCCGCCCCCCCTTTTTTTTTTGTAAAGATAACCAAAAACCAACAAAGCCACCTTTTACTGTCTACTCACACATCAGTTTTCCCAAGCCAGCACCGCGCTGGTGAAAGGCTGGGAAGGGAGAGCTCAGACTTCTAAACAAACCGCCTGATGCTGAGAAGTGGTGTTTCGAAAGGAGGATCCAATAGACTCCATAGCACAGTTCTCAACTCCAGTCATTTCTTTAAGAAGGTTCTTTTTATCAGAAAGGTAACTTGTAGGGCTTAGAAACTAAGCAAGAGATGAAATCCTAACTTCAGTGCTTGAGAACAACAACATAAAATTGCTTGCTGTAAATCTAATTGAGGATGATGATCGATATGGAAGACAGGTATAAATCCTGACATAGAAGATAAGTTACGCGTCCAACAAATTTAAAAAGTTGATAAACATTTATAAAGTGCCTGTTTGCCATGATATGATTCAGCTGCTGTATCTGACTGGACTGTGAGCTATTCAGCTGTGACTGAGAGGTTGCAGAGCACTGCAGAAGCTGACAGCAATATTGGGGTACAGCCCCACCCAGGTTCTCCCCCTAAGAATATTCACATCTTATATCCATCAGGGTACTCAAGCAAAAAAGCCTATGGATACGACTATTCTTGCCATCCAGTAGGGCTGTTAGTACATGCAGACATTACAAAGGAGTAGCTTAGCTAGAGAGAACTGAAGCCACAGTGACAGTGCCCCCCATGCTGCCACCAACACCCATGGCCACGTACTGAGCCATTGAAGCCCAAACCACCAGTTTTCACCAACCCAAGACACAAACTAAGTTTTGTATACCTGTGCTTCCCAACAACAGACACAGCTTAACTGAAGTTAACGCAGAGCAGTCTGTAAGGTCCTGGCTCCATACAATTAACTCACAACACATCACAATGACCTACCATGGAGAAACAGCTACAGATTTGGGTTGTGAATCCAGGCAAGAACAAAGATGTCCCATCAAGGACAGAAACAGAGCCATCCCATAAAAACAGAGTCTGTCTGACACGCCAAACCTCACTGCTTCCTGGGAAGATGTTTCAACTGCACTCTGCTGAGAGGACATGAGTTCCCACACCAGGATGTGCACACACACAGAAATGCCTCATCTCAGTGAGAACTAAGCGCAATGAACAGCTCTACCATGCTTTGTAATGGGGTTAAAGGATTCTGTATTGGAGAAAACTTCCTCTGCAAGAAGAAAGAAAGAATTTTGGCTAGCTCCAGCATTCCTAACTATAATCTTCCTAAAGCTACAGAAAGAGAGAACTTGGGAACTCTGATTAAGATTTTACAACAAATTGCTTTCGCACTTAGAGTCTGTATTATTATCTAGTTACAGCTGAGAAAGGTTAAAAAAATTTTTCCCCAGTGGGAAAGAAAAATACTGTGGAAATCTCCATTAGAAGATACTCAGCCACTGCTATTATGCCTGTGTTTTAAGAAATAATTTACAGAAAGTAATTAAAACTTGACAAATGACCAGAGATTCCTGAAGCTCTCTTTCAACTGGCCTTTCTCCCTTGCAGCTCAGACACCAAGCTGTCATCGCTTCAGCCAAAGGTGAAGGATTTTTTGTTTGCTGCAATCATAAAGCTTTCACTCTATATTAAGAGTTATCAGTACCAGAAACTGTGAATACAGATTTTAGCAACAGATGAAAATTTCAAACCTATGCCTAATAAACATTTGCTTCTGAAAGACAGTAAGACAGTATGGCAATTCAAATCTGATAATGTAATCACAGAAGCCAATAGAAAAACCTGGATACAAGCTGTCAAAGCAGCCTCCTCAGCCACATACATTCTGCTGAATTGAAAACATACCTGATCATCTGTTTGCACTCTGCTCCAAAGCTTGGAGGAAAACGGGAGATGCCGTTTATGTATTTTATCACTCCTGAGTACGTTGTATTCCAAAATAATTCTATTTATAGATATCTTACATAGCACTACTACTCTTTTCAGAATATAGTTCAGAAAGAAGAGCTTTAATCTAAAGCCGTGAAACTCACAAGATAGAAGTGTTGCTGGTAATACACTTCTAACAGCATCTTGGATCCCTAAAATGAGGTGTGTCTGATTCCAGATCTGTGCTTATGTGCAACTTCTCCTTTCTGCTGATGAATACCAGAAACAACAATTATCCTCACCTGCTTTATGATGTGGTCAGAATAGCATGCAAATTTACAAAACAAATTCAGGGTTAGATACTCCTACAGTTCTTTTCAAAGTTGCTCTGTACTGCAGGAACTCATCGTCCAAGGCAGCATTCTCAACTCTGACAGTAGTCAGTAGTCTAGTTTTCAAAGGGAAGTACAAGCAACCCTATAAAGGGAAAGTAATGTCTTTGAAAAATTCAACCCTTGGGATATTCCACCTGGTTCAACAAATCTGTAGATGTTCTTATTGCTAATACTATTACTTCATGCTTCCTTGTTAAAAAATAATGGGGAAAAAAAACCCTGTGCTAGCCCAGGTGCACATGAACAACTTTTTTAATCTCCTGCTTTATTCATGCCTACCTACATAAGACTGTGCAGCACGTCTGGATATGGAGATACTGTCTCTCTTAGGCAGGGACTCCACAGAAGATTGCAGTGATGTCCACATTGGGTTACACAAAAGTCAGTAATTTCATTGATTACACATCTGTATACGTCTGCTGTTCCAATTCCCCTGAATTTTCTTGAATACAACTTGGTGGAACTTCAAAGGCAGTCCCTGGACCTCTGCTAGAGCTAACACAGTCTACAACTAAAGAAGCACGTGGTTTTCACCATCTGCTCCACGCAGCATAACTGGTATAACAATCTGATACATGGCAGCTGGTGTGGGCTGATTTTCCTTATACAGGTATTACTGAATATTGCTTATGGTGAAAATCTTTTAGGCAACTTGAGTTAGGCTGTGATCCTTGAAAACCTTCCTTACAGATCCCTTTCCTTGGCTCCAAAAAATTAGGTTGGTGATGAGACAGGCTTCAGTCCCAGTAATGCCTCCCTTATAAATGTACTGGGGCACCAACACTAGTTCAATACCAGCAGTTTCTCAATAATGTGCAGGCACTAGAAAGGTCAGGTTTTATGACTGACTTGTAAGTACATTTATGCAGGCTCTCCTGAAGACAAGGAGAAGCCCTAATCCACGATATGAGCTAAGAAATACCATCAGAGGAATTAAAGTGCTGATGTATTCTAACTCTTCCTCACAGGACTGCAGAAAAAAGAAGAAAAAATTACTCAAAGTTGAGTAGAAAAGTCTCCTCATGGTCGTTACCTACCTCAAATTTCTCAGGCCACGCTTACACAGTGGAGAAGACTCCTTACCAGCTCGCCCCCTTGCTTAGTAAACAGCTCTTTCTACTAGAAAATAATAAAGCCTAATACATATATATATATATGTATGTAAAAATCAAGACCAGAAGACAGAAACACAATGACTAAACGCATAATAAAGTATAACAAATGAGAAGACTGAAAAACATGCATTTACTCATTATAAAGCCACCCCCCTTCAAATTCACAAAAAATGTTACCATTAATTGACAATCGTAACTCAACTTTCTTTAAAAAAGTTTCTGAAAACATACCCAAATATTAATAATAGAAACACGAACCATTTTTATAACAAAAATCTAGATTTATTAAAAGCTGGAACTGGTTGAAAACAAATCCCTGACATAAGGTTCTTGTTAGCTTTAAACTGTAAGCATAAAAATACCCTAGAATTATGTTTTGGTATGGATGAAATGTACACTATATAACACATAAAAAGAGCCTTGACTTGCTGCTATTATTTTTAATTAGGGTCTCTAGCACGTATGGTTTTACCTTCCAACACCAATTCAAATTTGGGAAAAGGGAGGGTCTGACTCTTCAAGCTCATGGGACTGGCAATTCCACGGCTCATGCCTCAGAGCAATAATGCATTTTACATTAGCTCTAAGCATCAGGAAATCCTGGCTTCTGGCGCCAAGAAGTTCAAAACGATAATGACACACATCTGAAAACTAGGATTCGCCGTCCGACTGCCAGTATCTATTCTATCAAACAATTCAGTCCTGCTCTATTACAAATGGGACAGAACGTTTGCAGCAGTACATGCTGTTTCCAATTAGACTGTGTCTGGACTGCAGATAAACCCATGCAGCAATCATAGAAAAAAAAGCTTTCCTAGAAGACAGAATTGTAATGAGAAATCGGAATATTCAGAGGGGCTATCAACAGCAGGCAATTACTAAGTTTGTAGTTAGTCAAACTAGTTTTTCTGTCCTCTGTTTTTGAGGCAGCCCTTCAAAAACCCCTAGAGACATTACAAAGAAGTTGTACAAATGTTTATTTTAGTTAAGGATATACAAGGTATGCTTTGCTACTCATTTTAGTTGGAAGACAATCAGATGAAAACGCATCTTACCAATGCAACTCCCTGAAAAGGGTTTGAAATTTGAGGCTGAGTGATCTACTTTAACTCTTACCCACGGACACTGAAGATCCTTCCCAGATGGCACAAAGACTATCAAGAATACATAGGCATACAGTCTTGTAGTTAATACAGAAACCTGTTGTCTCCTAGGCTGTGTGTCTATGCTAAAGCTGAGAACTACAAGCCACATAGTAAGACTCCATAAAGCTCACACTTCTGTCACTTTCTCAATCACCAGCATGTCCTGAGATGAAGGCTGCCCATTTGGAAACAATCAGATAACATGGTGTATACCAACCTATCACTGACCCTTTCATTAAAGCATTAATCATGTTTCATAAATATGTTAACAATATCACTCTTACTGGAGATTTAGCAACAAAATTACTTGGCAAGGGAACTCTTCCTGAATTCTGTACCAGTATCTCCTTCTCAAACATAAGCTGCACACAAAGGGTTGCACACTGATCTGAACTTGATCCTGAGTATAAACATTATTTTCCCCCTCAAGGTAACCCATCTTTTTAACTTAACATTCTGCTTTCTAGTGCATTACAGGTAGAATGAAGAAATGAGTGTAACCTTCCACTGCCCTGTGAAAACTACAAGAAGCCAAGGTAAGACAAAAAGCTTTTGCTTCACCTATGCATAAATTAAATTGCTCATATTTTACAGTGACTTGAGCTGTAAGCATTGAAAACAGTGTTAACACTTTGGAAGGCAGCAACTCTAACCACAGTTCTGGGCATGTCCAAATAGCATCAAGTTAAGTTGAATCCTGTGTTTCAAGTATTTTCTACTAGAGAGCAGAGGTCAATGATGCTCTATGAAAGGAGTTTCCTAAATCTTTCATGAACTACAAAGAAAAGGACCCTCTTCTTTGAAAAAGGTCTTTTCTATTTTGAACCTGTGAGAGAAGCCTACTCAGAAATGCAAACAGCAATAACTTGCTAAATGCAGGCAGGGAGAGGTCATTAACCAGTAGGATAACTCAAAAAAAAAAAAACCACCACACCTCCCAGAAGTCAAGGCAAAACAGGTATCTTTAGTTCATTTACCCTATCACCAAAAATAAACACCATGAGTAATAGAACAGATAATACTTTGGGAAGACTTAAGGTAAAGGGAAACAAGTGCAGAAGGAGTTTTGGTAACTGAGAAACTTATTTTCAACATTTTAAGACTACAGGAGAAAGTATTCTTCTAGGTAATCAACACCTGAAAAATGTCTTTAAGTGGTCTAAATAACAGTGTCTGAACATTACAGTAATTGTCATAATGTAGTTATGACAACGTATTATAGTTTTACTTTTCTGTAGCTTTTAGAACACTATTATGGATCATAACATGTATGTTAACATATTAAAAAAACATGCAGTTCAAGAAGGCAGACCAAACCTGCATTTTCAGCATCAATCACTTGCATTACGAAAGCAAAAACCAAACAACAAAAAACCCTATAAAGAAACCTGATCAGCCATTTTGTGATGTGGGTTTTACGACCCTCAGGGCTCCCCCTTCCAGCTCAGGATATTCTATGATTATACACATTCTTTACAAACAACAACTTACCTGCTAGAGAAGGGATGCTGCCCAACGAGGTCTCCATTTTGAAGATGATAGTCACTGAAGAAGTCTGGACTCACCGCTCCATCGGGTGCTATGAGGCCATCTATAAAAACAAGGAAGATACAGAGGCTGTAAGAAGGAGCACAATTTCAAGGCAAGTGGGCAACATACTCTGTGCTGGTTTGTGTCAGAAATTTGTTAGCAACATGGAATGTTTCTGGAAGGAATGTCAAGCCACAATAATACTGAAAAAGAGCAACTTCAGCTACAACAGAAAATTCACCGGGACTCCACAACTAGCCTACTGCCCTAAAACACAGCTGTACCCAAGGAAAATTCTCTTACCTCTTCATCTTATGATCTGGAGAGACTATATCAAGAACCATACTGTCTGCCCCATCAATGAAAGTGAGCACAGAGGAAAAAGTAATGAGAAGGGTCAAACACAGGTCTACTGTAACAGCATAAAAGCAGAAAAGCAACAAAGGTTTTAATTCATCAAGACTCTGCCTCTCACCACAGTATCTTTTAAAATTGGTTTAAGAAAGCAAACAATCAACAACAGGAAAGCAGCTTCAAAATCAACTTTTTCCCCACATCCACTATTTCAGTGTCTTCTTGCTATTTATTTCCTAAAAAAGTGGTCTTTTTACATGATGTACTCACAAGAACACATACTACTGTTTTCTTTTGCTTCTTTTATATTAAAAGCATTAGCATACAAAGAAGTAAACATCTGTAAGGCCAGTAGTATTCCTTAAAGGCTTTACAGTCTCTCCTCGCTTTATAAAGAAAAGGAAATCAGGGGCTGACATCTTCCCTCCGTTACATCAGCGTAAATCCAGAGAGTCTTTGAAGTGAAGTCAGAGAACTGACCCCAGCTGAATGAGAGCCCAGCTTAACTCTTTCCTGTTCCCATCCCCCAAACTCATTCCTTATTAATATTGAGGGCACAGATATTACCTGGTAATAATAGGCTCTCACTAGGTAAAACAATTTAATTAAAACAGAGCCTATCTTGGTTTGTTTCCATTATTGTATGAAAGTGATCCAAGCTTTACAGAGCAGAAAGCAGCCCAGGAAGAACCAGGCAGAAACAGGTACCTTCTGATGGACAATTTAATAGTTTACCAGAGGAGAGAGATTCCTAATGACTAGGAAGTTACAAATACCATTCCACTTTAAAAGAAAGAGAGATAAGACCCAGGGAATCACAGGCCACTTAGCTTAACCTCTGTGGTTTCAAATCTACTAAAACTGCCTGTGCAGGAAGCAGTGGAAAGTTACTTACAGACACACGGGCTTAAAGATGACGACTCAGGCATTCAAACAAATCTCCCTGTGCTTTATGAATTCACCTGATGTTTTTTGAAGATAATATAGTGACAAATGATAAAAGGAATAGAATTGACACATCTAGATTTCCAGCAGACGTTTGATGAGGTGCTATGGAGATTCATTTAGAAGATAATACCTCATGGGAAAGTGACCAAATACAATGCAACAGATTGTAAATGAAAAATGCTAGCCATGATCAGACTACATTTTAGCTGCACAGGATAGCTGTAAATGGCTATATTCTAATTGTATACATGTGCATACAGTATGTGAAAGGGTATTACTTGATAAGCAAATATATTGGCACAGATCTGTATTACTGTCTTTCAGCATGCTCAGATAGACACAAATGCTCTGTGATAGTGTAAGAATTAAAAGGAGCAAAGAAAAGGGAGGAAAGCTGAAATGGCTGTTATTGACACATGCCAAGGTTTCCTATCTGCATATTTTTCATATCAGCATTTTTGCACGTGGAGCATTCCACAGGAAAAACAATCAAATAAGTGACTGTGTTTTAAAGAGGTGAGCTTAAAACTTAATAAGTTTATCTGCTTTCAAATATCTCACTTCCTTTCTATTAATAAAACATGCATTATATTTTTACTCTGAGACCAGAGTTAGCTCTGCTTAAAAATGTCTTCACTCAAGAGTGCTAAGATTCAAGCCATAGCACTCAGTTCTGGCTCATGAATTTAAATGAAAATGGAAGCACACGGATATCAGCAGCACCAAATAACGTGATTACAGTTAAAGGACCATCTGTTGTTATGTACATTTCAACACAAATTAGGGTTAAGTACCTTCAAAGCAAAGGAGACACCGAACTCAAAGGTAACTCCAGAGATTCTACCAAGTTTTTGAGGTAGAGTTAGATCACTTTTCAAGAGATACTTGATATATCATTCCAATAGGAATTGATATATCATTCCAATAGGAACTCACCTTGTCAACAGCAAACTAATATTGTTAGGGCTAAGGACAGATATGTACTGTGTGAGCTATCAGCACAGGTCACCAAAATGCAAACGTGTCACTTCTGACTGCACAAAAGCTATTATTTTTTCTCATTTCTGACCAGCTCTATCCTTCAGAAACCCAAATGCCTACTCCAACTGGTACAACAATCTGTAGCCTTTTTAGAGAAAAGTTACATCCGTTCTGGCCACATCTCCAAAGTATAAGTCTGGCAGTTTAGAAGCACACCATTACTGGCACTTGCTGGAAGGAACCTGAGAAGAGAATCTGCGTTTTGAATATATTCCCTTAGTCTAATACTTTCTAAAACAAAAGCATTTTTCAAACATCTGCAGAACATATCACTGGAAATCTGCCCCTCCTTACCGGTCAAGTAGCAATTCCAACACAAAAATCTTTGTTCAGGTAACATTAAGCACGTAACACAAATGCTTAAAAACTAGGAGTATCACTGTTAGCAGTGAGTTTCCACTTCTAGCTCATACTGTTTGGAAAATAAGTGGCCCTGTTAAACGAGCAAAGGTTTGCTGCCTGTAAAGCAAACACCACAACAGGCACACTGTCACATCTTTAACTCAGGAAGCCTGAAAAAGACTTGATGCAATCAGAGAACCTGGTACCATACTACACATGGCTTACACTGCTCATCTTGAAGGTCCAGTACAGTGAAATAAAGCTGCAGGATTCAAAAAGGACAATAAAACTTACCACTACAGAGGCACATTGCTACATCTGATGTACATAACCACACAGATGAATAAGAATCCTTAAGATCTGATATTTTTTAAGAATAAATTTTGAAATGCTACTGAGGTATTGCATATCTATTTTTTCACAGTAACTACAAATAAAACTTACAGATTTCAGTGGTTTTATTTTTCTTATTAATATTCCAGCAAATTCATCCAGAGTCAGAGTTTTGTGACTCATGCTTCATAGCAAAGGACTGGACACTCGTATGGAAAATTCAAAAGCCACACACACATACACAGCTATGCAGGAGTTTGAAAAGGAAATAAAACCACAAGCTTGAGAGCATAAGCCAACTTCTAGTTGTTAAAGGTTATGAAGACATTAATCCAGTGGGCAAGTTATTTCATGAGATCTCCCTGCAGGGTGATACTGTACCTGGAAGGTTTGGCAAGAGCAACCCCTGGAGAGAGGATACTGGACTAGATACATCAGTGGCTCAATCCAGTATGCCCACTTCTACTTTCTTACTACAAAATCTTTACAGAGAGAAAGGGCAAATTCTACATGAGATCCCCCAGAGCTATGCCAAGATGCACCATTAGTGGGAGTAAGCTACTATTACTCCTTCAGAAGATATAAAAGAACTAATCTTCAATATGAAATGACTCCTCTCAATTTTAATTATCAAGTAATAAAACTTTCCATACAACCATCTCAAAAAAAAATAGAATTCCCATTACAAATTCACATACTTCTTTAGATATATGACAGCACAGTTAGACAATGATTCACAGAATGATTGCCTTCTGCTCAGAAGCATACATGTGGCTTAATTGAGATCTTGCATCAAGTTCTTCAAGAAAGTTTCATTACAGGACTAAAACAAGGCAGAACAAAATGCAGCATCAAATCCCATAGCTGTACTGCTCTGTGAATTTAACAGCAATGAGACAAGGCTTGTGTTTAGTTAAGCAAACAAGCTATGAATGTAAGAAAGAGCTAGAAGAGAACACAGCTAGGCCACCATCCTTTAGATCAGCAATCATGGTCTGCTAGCTGAGGTAGACCTGTTCTCATCTCTAAGGACCTGCCACGCTTTGTGCTCCAAGTGCGTGGAAAAACAGCACTCAATTCTTCATTAACACTTAGCAAGGACAAACAAATCCCCAGCAAATATGAATCATCACTGCTCCCACTGACACACAGAGGCAGCTGTACCAGTTTGAGCATTCTTTCTACAGCAACAGGCCAGATCCTGGTTTCAAGTACAGAGGTAGCTATCCCAACACTGAATACTAACACATGCTGCTTACCTGCGTTGTAGTAGAGATCAGGTCTTTCCAGAATATCTCCTTCGTGGATGTAGGGCTCAATAGGATCATCCCCATACAGATACTGCTCACTGTCATCCATCTGCCGACTCTCCACCATCTCCAGCCACTGAGAGTTGTGCCATCGAAATTTCTCACTCTGGATTTTTTTTGCCCATTCCTCATCATATTCCTGTTAGTAAAAAAAAAAACAAAACAAAAACAAAAAAAACCCACTAAAAATGACCACACAAGAGGTTGTGATGAAGAATAGACAAAGACCTATTTGGTTTAACAGGAAATAGCAGAGGAATTTAACATCAGCAAAAGATTCAAGTTTCAGCACTCAGAGCCTTAAATCTTTTAAGTGTGTAGAATACTTTGAGCTAAAAAGGCAATGATTTTCCAAACACTAGGCCTCATTTTGGTTTTGTACGTGCAGCAGCAGTACAATCTTTTCTTCAGTTTGTAACTCTGTACTGTCCAGAAAATTCTCTTGCTTTGAGCAAGGGAGTCCCACCATCATGGTGTCCTCACTTGGAGTGTCAAGAAGAGCCTATTACTGCCAATTTTCAGAGGGAATGCAGGAATTAAACACTAACACTGGCCAAATACTGTTTGATTTCATTAGAATCATAGAATGATTTGGGTTTAAAGGGACCTTTAAGATCACGTAGTTCCAACCCCTTGCTATACACAGGGACACTTCCCTCTAGACCACGTTGCTCACAGCCCCATCCAGCCTAGTCTTGAATGCTGCCAGGGAGGGGGCATCCACAACCTCTCTAAGCAACCTGTTCCAATTACTCAAGAAGAACAATAAAGGCTGCGATAAAACCAGTTAAAAGTCTTTGTTTCACGAGCACCAGAAAAACAGGATTTAATTCTCAGCTTCCTGACAAACTTCAAAATAGATTGCTACTTTTAATATTGAACACCCACAAAATTAGCACACAACATTCTTGAATAGGTTATGGGGAGCAAAGACAAAACTAAAGCCAGAGAAGAACCTCTCCAGAGCACTGAGGGATACAGGATAATAGGTATAGGCTACTATGGAAACAAAAGGTGGTCATGAAATTTCAGGCTGGAATACAGCCTAACCACACTCTCTGATAATGTGATATTCAATATAAAGGAATATCAGAAGGAAAAGGTATAGCAGTCAGTGCAATCAGCTGTTTAGAAGGCTCCTCTAAGCAGACCAGACTGTCTGGGCTGTTGATTACCACTGAGCAATCATAGCCCTTGTAGTACTCACATTTTCAGTACTACTGGAAAAATAGGACACAACTAACTATAGGCACTTGTGAACATATTAAAGCTACAGGTGTTATCGATTTAGGAAGATCCACAAATAATGCACAGTAGCTATTACCTTTTTTAATCAAAGAACTGTGACCAAGAACAACATTCATAACCAATAAAGTGTTTCTGTTTGTGGGAAGCAACATCCTTGTGAGGCAGGTCCCAGCACATGCACCTCACTGCCTTCTGACTTAACTCCAGGAGAGACAAAAACTGAAAATCATTTCTTACCTCAAGATAGTTAACATATGCTCTAGACAGACTTCCCTCTGAGATCTAGCTGGAGCACTTTTAGGTTTTTAAAATCCATTTTACTTAGCCCAGAAGGGAAGGAAGATTGTTCATACAATTAACAACGTCTTGGCTGCAGAAGTGGTAATTTCTTAAACTGCTCCAGCTAGACATGCAAAAGCAGATCTGTCTACAACGTGAGGTTAAAAAAATAGCAGTGAAGACAGAGTAAGTTGGCTTAGTAGCTCAGGTTAAACTTCTAAAACCCCTATGGACCGAATTTGAGCTTTTAAGCTTACTTTATAGTCAGCATACCTTGTCTTCACTGCTGTTAACCTGACATGGGTACCACACTGTCTATCTAGCCTTTGCCTTTTCCATCCTTCTGACTGCTGGTAACACAAAAACCAAGTGGTTCAGTCCTTCTAACAGAAGATTCTCCAACACTGCTAACCAGCCTATCTCAAGGCTCCAAGATCCCATGGGGAATCATGCTGCATTGTACAACCACAAACCATTATGCTACAGCAGTGGGTTTCAAGACCGTTTTACTTGGAGGAAGAACAAGTTTGTTCCTCCTGGCTTACAGCAGGAGGTAAACTCCTTTTTGATGAGACATCCACGCACGCTGCAAATGTGGGGCCCTGATCAGTCTGTGATATCATTCTCTATTTCTCAGAATCCACAGCAGCAGTTATGTGATCTAATTCCCCTCTGCACCACCCTGGCACTCAAGCAGTTCTGTTCAACACCTGCTCTCATGCACAGCGTCCATGCACAGAACAAGCATCACCTGTGGGATCTATAGAGGTTCCCGTCCCTGCTAGCCTCAAGCAAAATTCCAAGTTCCTGTCAACTGTACAGTAATGCAGTATCCTTAGGGAGGAAAACAAATCAACCAACCTCACACCTCACACCATTAGGAAAAAGAACACCTCATGCTGTTTCTGCTTCTTGATATTTCCCCCACACATGCACACTTCAGCTCTCAATTAAACGGAAATCCTAGAGTGTTCTCTGGGAAAGGAAGGCTAGGCATCAAAATCTATAAAATGAGCCAGAAAAAAAGAAAATGAAAGCAGGAGTTTCAGTACCACCCGACAAGCATCTTGGAAACATCTACTTTGCTGCATCTGCCAGAGATAAAATGTGGACTATTATATCAGCCCTCAACAGTTGTGAATTACTTACAAGCTTTAGAGAAACACCTTGTAACTGCCAAAGATCACACTGTAGTCTTAGCAAAACTATTCCCAGAAATCACGATTGCGAAGAGGTGGAAGAAAGAAACAAATTTAACAAACAGCAAATTAGATTAATCCATGGGAAAGCTGAATTCCTTTCACATTACCTTGTTTACTTCTAAAAGTTCCCAAAAGCATAAAGGCCAGTAGCTAAATCTCTATTTCTCATTTACCATCAGTGAACTTTGAAAATGGGTCTACCTCCCAGAAATTAAAAAACAAAGGAATCCCACGTAGCCAACACCACTGTCCCATTCCACACTGCTGTTCAAACTGGCTGGACATTTCCTACAAATAGCCATTAACTTAATATACTCCTGAAAAAAAATCAGTTAACACCACTTGGATTGTTTGGTGGTTTGTTTTTTTTTAATTACTTTTATTTAGACAGCAACAGGATAGAATACCCCTATGCATTCTATATTTCTCTTCTTACGTTAGGAGGCTTCAAACCTGCAGGTATCCCCCCTCAATCATCCATAAACTTCTAGAAAACAGGTTGAGCAACTGACTGGCAAATTACTGGTTATGAGACTGAACATAGTTTCACATTACTTACAAATCCCAAGCTACCAGTTCAAACAGATAATCTAGTTTTTGGGTCTGTAACCTGCATTTCACTATGAATGACCAATAAGAACAAGGAGATGGCCATGCCAGAATAGGATCAATGATGAGCTGTATCAAGGGTTTCATTCTGGCAGCAATCCTAGAAAAGGATGATTTGCAGCAATCTCAAATGATTTACATAACCTCAACACAAAAAAAGTTCATTTAAGTACTGCATGATCGAGGATACGTCTGTAGATTTTCCACAGAAATGTGCAGAAACACCACTGGGTAAATGATTAATGGAATAACATCAGAATGGAGGAAAAGCTGTAAATGCAGGACTACAGCCAGAAGGCACAAAGAAACCAAATTAAAGAAACCAAATTAAAGAATTTTAGGACAAAACAATTCCCTAAAACACAGTAAGGCTTCCAGTAATTATACTTTCAGCTATTAAAAGCTTTTTTTTAAAAAAAAAAAAAAAAAAATGAAGTGCGCCTTCTTGAAACTAAGGAATGCCTGCAAAAATTAAACCAGAAAACTAAACATTATGGAGACAAACACAGCTTTGTCCCCTCCAGTGCTTTTGAACACCAGTCCACCAGAAAAGCAGCGGATGGAATGTGCCTATTCTCCACCCCTCACCCCAAATACAGCATGGGCAGTAACATAAAAGGAAGAATCCTGAAGGTTGATTTTATTCTCTTTGGAGCTCCCTGACATCACTGTTTTTAACATTCGGTTTCCATAAATCCAGAAGTGACATGGAAGATGTATGGTTTGACTCTGCAAGGAATGTGCCATCCTTTTTGAAGTTCTGCTTCCAACTTTGTTTACTACTGAACCATTGAAATATTATGAAGCGTTAACTGGCCTATTATCAGAGCGTGTCTGTTCCCTATCAGGGGTCCCTTTTGTCACTGGCTTCCGTCACACCTTGTATCTGATTAACACACTATAGGATAACATAGAGCTACACAGATCTGCTTTGTGTTCTCTCACAGCTGATGAAAAACAGATTTTCCTTTTCACTTTAATGTGGTTGCCCTTTAATTGGGTCTGTAATAGGGTTCATTTGATGCGATTCCTCATACTAAACTAAAACTGCTATACAGTAAGTTGAACGTTAGTTATGTTTAAGGCCATAGTCAGTAAAGTGATATGTTACATTCTTCATTATTTAAACATTCCTAAAACATATAGTTTACAAGAAAGGTTAAAGTAACCATTTTTTTTAGTTAAGGAAAGATTTATCTTGTCTAGCTAACCAAAATTTAGACACTTAATTTAAACTACGCACCTCTATAAAGCAAGGATAGAAACAGATGGTATGGATCACCTTCTGTGGGTGTCTATGATACCTACCTTAGGCTAAGTAACACCAGAGGGCAATTCAGTGACAGGTCAAAAAAAACTCTATAACTTCTGCTGGCACAACTCACGGTTACCTCTCTGCAAGTGGGCTCATCACTAAATATCTGCTGATAGCAGACCAGTAAAAACCTACAGAATGGAATTAAAGGCAAAGAAGAAACATTCATGTCTCCTAAGCTTAGGTGTGGACATTAAAAACGCTTTGCAGAGGATTCCTGTACTGTCAATAACTGAAGAGTTCAACTCTTTTTTTCCTTGAAGAAATTAGAGATATCTCATTGGCCAACTGTAACAGAGACCACTGGTTTGGCTCACCTTCTTAGTTTTTCACCCCAAAGAGTAAGCACCAATGCTAGAATGAAATCTGTAGGGTAGGTTTATGTGAAGACAAAAGAATCAGAACTCACATGCCCTGTAGCACGGTTATTTGTCTTGTTCACGTGGAGTCTTTCTGCTGGGTGCTCTTTGCCACAAAAAGCTACCAGCACTGAAGTAGACTGATTTCAAATTTCATAATGCAGGAGTTGAAAATACTAGTCAACAGTATGGCCAGCAGTCCATAGTTGCTCTACTGCCCACCTCTCTGCATTCAGGACTGTTAGAAGATAACAGAGGTACGCAACAGCATGGAAAAAGGGAGCCCTGACAAACAAAGGTAGAAACTCTTTTCCTGGAGTGAGTACAGCGCTCACGAAAAGAGGACACCAGGCTAGAGTCAAAGGTTATCTGTTTTCAGAATATGGTGCCTATTCAAATAAAGCCCGTGCTAAATCCCTGTGGTCTGCTCTTCCTTGATTTTCAGAGAGCTGGTCAACATCTTGAACAGCTGGCCCCAAATCCCTGAGGATTCACAGCACATTCCTGCTTCTTATGTGAACTTCTAGCATTTGCAATATGGAGAACGTGGGTTCCAGCACTTGGCCAATGGACAAAGATGCAAGCTATTCATTGTGACAGCTTTCCATCTGAGAAACATTGCTTGGCTTTCATTACAAGTATTTGGGGAAAACAATGTGAGCTGGAAAAAAACCACAACCAAAACACCACACCTTAAAAATACCTTAAGCATACGGCCCTTAGATCACAGAGCTGTAGCTATATCTTTGTTTTTTACTTCTGCACAAAGGACAGTAATTCACTCTACATCATAAAGGAAATAAGATGGTACAGTGGGCCTGGATTCAAAGCTGTAAAAAAAAAAATACTGAACAGGAAATCTGTCTGAAAACTGGGGAGTGGGGAAGTTCATTAGACCAAAGTCTAAAGATCTGATTATGGTTAAATATCCTTTGAATAAACTAAAAAAAAAAAAATAAAAAAATCATTTAATGGCAGTAAGGGAAAGCAAAAAACAGAAGACAAGAAAACTGAGCCATTAATAATTTCATCAGCTCTTGATAATACTGTCTGAAGTGAACAGAGTAAAACCTTCTTGAGTAAACTGACATTTATTTCACAAGCATCAAGAACAGATGTCCAGGACCAGAGGAAAGGCAAACTTCATTTGCTGTGGAATCCCACTGTTGACTCCAGGCTTTCAGTTGAGCCATACAACCTGTCCAGCCTTAGGTGTACAGCTACACTCAGCTAACTGCTTGGTGTTAAGACTCAGCACACGACACAAAACCAAAGCTTTTCTAAATTATCAACAGATTTTTTTTTTTTTTGACAAAAGCAATATCTTACTTCTACCAGCAAAAAGCCAAGACTTCCCAGAACATACTATGCTAAAGCAACACATCTGTTTCGCTTCATCAATAGCAGAGTCCAGCCAAACTGTATTAAACAAATCATCACTAGTGTAACATTTCCATAATTTCTGTGACAATTACTTTACTATAGTAAGCACATCTCCCCTAAGGCATATAAGGCATCTGATTTTCTAGTGTTATTTCAATCACACTACATAGAGCTCATTGATGAGTGAAAGAAGCATTTGTCTCCCTGAGAAGAAATTACTATCAAATCTCTTCTCCATCATTTACTTCCTGAATTCCATTATCAGAAGAACTAACCCTGTCAGCATGTATGGAACAAGACAGCAAACTTAAGATTCTCTCGTTGTGGATTTAACACTGATAAGAAATTTCAAGAATCCTAGAGACTATGCCTGTTCAGACACTTCAGAAGGCACTGGCAGTGTAAGAACAGCACGCAGCTGAACATCACAGTGTTCATAGGCTACTTTATCACATAATAGAAGCTACATTGCAGAATGTCTTTCAAGACCTGAGGGTTTTGAGAACTTACTGATTCACATATTCCCTACTTGCCATCTAGGATGAGTTGCCTTTATAGCCTGTGATTTTTTTGGTACTGGAAAATGGAGTGCTACCAGCCCATAACATAGCCAAGGAAGCAATCAAGCAGTGGTACTCCATCTTCCAGAAAACAGGCTGTTATTGTGCTTCCTGTGCCCCACACAGGCACAGTGTTAGTTACAGCTTATGCAACTTATAACACAACAACTAAGTGATAAAGCTGAAAAGACCTTCACAGAAAGGTAGTTCTCCTAATATGCCAATGAACCTTGCTACCAAGTAATCTACTACCATACACTCAGTACGTGCATCTTCTCTCCCATCCCCCAAATCAGCAGAATCAGATCATTTTCTCCTTTTATTCTTCCTCAAGGCCTGCGAGAAGCCTGCTTCTTACAAGTTCAGAGTGGCTCTTCCCATTTATTATCCATTTATTATTATTGCACTTCTCAATTTTTCCTCATGCAGCAGCATGAAATTATCTCTTCCAAGGAAGAAAGGAAAAAACAACTGAGTAGATTTTACTCTGAAGTTCATATTGAATGTGAAGCTGTGTCTTAAACTACTTATTCTTCTGAATTCCATAAAATAAAGCTTGCTGAATAATACTACTAACACAGTAATATCTACTAACTGAAAAATTAGTCCCATATTGCAAAGCTTCCCTCAACAAACACAAAAGCCCCTAAGACACCTGGAAACTACACTGGCCCTAAGGAGAGGAAAGAAAAAAAAAGGTGTTGGAAACATTGATAAATGTTCAGCTTCATCCAATGGATAAACTCTTTCTACCATTTCCCTTGGAGAGGTCTCTGGAAGTGGCTGATCCTGGTAATACTCCTCAGAAATAAGTATTAATGCATCTTATTTTAAATCTTGCTTTTAATGAATGTTAACTGCCACTGATTAGTGAGGCACAATTGCCATCCTATATCTCTATGAAGTAAAGCAGAGAGACAAAAAGAATTCCAATACAGAGAGTGTTATGTCATTTTACTTCTTACTTCAGAAGATTATTAAACCTTACAGAGAACAAGCTGCAATATGCATAATTCCACAGAGGAATAAACTAAGTAGCTTACAGCAAAAGCATTAACCTAGTCCAATATTTTGATATTACTCTTGACTCACAGTCAAGATCTCTTTGAAAGACTTAATTTCACAGCAGCTGCTCTACATACAAAAGGTGTATATTCTACATAATTCTAAAAGACTTAAATGCCAGAATTTCTTCTCGTCAATAGAAGTTGATTGGATTAAACAGCCCAGGACTTTTAACAATGAAATGCAACTTTCACATAAAATCTACGTCACTAAGGTAAAAGCATTGGGAAGAATGCCATGAGAAATGTAAAAGCTTCTACAGACAGAGATACTCGGAAGTGGACTATATTTACTACATATTATTGTCTCTTACTATAATGCAATAGTGCTTTAATTCTAAGTTCAATATTCTTAGTTTTCCTCTCAAGTTAACAGTTTAAAATAAAACAGCTGTCCCAAAGGTTTCTTCTGATCAATGGATAATTAGACAAACTAAGCCATGAAGCTCAAATGAAACCTACCGTAGAGTTGAGACAATATTAAAAAGTTCACTGTTATACTGCCTGATACCCCAGCAGAAAACAGCCAGCTTTAGAACTGCCTCCCATGTTTTCTTTTTGCAAAACAGAACAAAACAAAAAACTGGCATCAAGCATTGTAGAAAAAGCTGAATAAAAGCTGCTGGGTAACAGGAGCCATTTGTTTGGAGAACTATGACTTCTGAAAGCTTGACATGCTTATGCACTGTGATTAATTTTATTTTTATTTAAGTTAAAAAAGCATTTCTTGAAAGTGTACACAGTGTATAGTTAACTGTTATGAATTTTCTAAGTATATATGTGCTTTCTGGAAGTTTGGTACACCACCTTGAATAATGATTGTTAAATTCAGCTTTTACTTATGTGATTGCACATGGAAAACATATTCAGTTTGTAAGTATGAACATGTTGCTATCCAGTTATTATTTGAAAGTTACGTCACATAGAGGTGCTCTTGAAAGACAGATGAGAAAAATCAGACCTACCGCTATAATGTCCAGAGTGTTGTCACAAACTTTGCGTATCTCAGCATTTTTATCATGCATCAGGTCTATAAGATATGCTGGAGCCTCTGGAAAGAAACTGTTAAGGATAAAAGCTGGGGTTTCTTTGCACAGTCCTATCTTCCTCCAATTACAAATTTCTTTAAGAACCACGGTGGGGAATTTTCTATCACATGTGAATTTCAGCAGCCTTCTCCCTTACCACCTTTTTTTTTTTTTCCATCACCTTTTAAGATATGCCAATAATCTTCAAAATTTATGAAGAACTAAGTACTCTTACCAAAAAAATCTGCTACAAGGAAATCTGTATATCTATCTGTACATCTATGCCTTTTGGTCTAACACGTTAGTTCATCTCCATGGAATGGTTTAATATTTCAAGAACATTACTTTTGTAATCTTCCAGGAGTTCTACTGTCTAAAAAGTTTCCAGTGTACTTGGCTCAAAGAGAGGTCTATAGTGCAAATGAAAGTATCATTATTAGTTCAATTTGAATGAGAAGCATTACTTGAATCTTAGCGCTGTATTAAAATCTAGACTCTCAGGAGTCAAAACAGGAGAATGACATCCCAAACAGCTTTTCAGATATTCCTCAGGGCTCAACAGAACTAAGGATGTTAAGAGGTAACCCTTATGTTGTTAGCAAAATAATCATTAACCTGCTGTCCCATTCAACCTACTCTGGTTCAGTACAACTTCACATTCATCTAATGCCCACAGAGATAGCCTCTTTCCACAGCTTTCGGGTCACCTGAATAAGGTCAACATAAACATCAGAAATGATTGAAAAAATAAGAAATGACTGAAGAGGAGATAGAAGTTCTGTATCAAAAGTTGATATGCCAAACATAACATTTTAATCAAGAAAGTGGACGAAAAATGGCAGGCATTATTTATGGCATCTAGTTTGATGTAAGAAAACACACTATTAAGGTAATTCGGTTTACTTCACTTCAGGCTATGCAGCATATAAACATAATAGACAAACTTCTTGGGCTGCACCATATTTAATTAAGTTATTCCACAGGCTATCATTAACAAGTCATAGAATAATTCAGATTGGACAGGAAACAAAGACTCATCTAGCCCAATGTCACCCACCCCCTCCCATTTCAAAGCAAACCAAATCTGAATCTGTACTATTCATCTTGCACTCCACTCGACATTTTTCCTTCAGCTGAAATAAACCATTTACAAAAACTTCTAAAACCAAGAAATTTATGGGCCAAATAACAGCAATAGCAAATTAACAACAGTAATTCTGTATGTTTGATCATTAAAAAGATACGAGTTTCCTTGATAATGACATCTCTGGTGGCTTGGTGGAAGACCATCTGATAGAAAACATAAATGATCTGGCAGACAAACTCATCATCTTCCTGCTGAGCTGCGAGGGAGAAAAGAATATATATCATTTAAGATCTCACATTTAGATGCTCTTGATGCCTAGAGAAAGCCCAGCTCTTACACTGTCAGCTAGACTGTTCAGTGGTATGCACGAAAATCTAACTCCTGACAATAGAATAGAAGAGTGTTTCCTTCCCTGTTGCAGTCAAGTAGAAAAATCAGACTGCAACACCAACTCTGAATGTATAATAAAAACCTCAAATCTATTATACCACTAGTTCAGTATTTCCTTATCAGTATTAGAGTAATCGCTCCTCCTTTCATATACAAGAACCATAGCCTTATCTCACAAGAAAAGAGGAATAGAGCATTTAGTTACAATACAGCTATAGCAGCTAAATGTCTATGAAAGACAAGGCAAAATACCATTTAAAAGCTCAATGAGGGCAGGAATGATTCCAGATTTGGCTAGCAGAGCAGCACAAGAGTCGTCCATAGAAACAGTTCCAATCATTATCACCACTTCTAAAACAAGGTCATCTTCTGCAGAACCTGGAAGTCAAAAGACACAAAGCACTGCCTCTTAGAAATTTTTCATCTTCTGTCAGTTGGATTTTTATTTGTAGATACAATTCTGCTTTTCAGTGTTACATTTCCCCAAACCACCCCAAGTTAGAGGTAGACAGACTCTACTCTGAAAGAACAATATGTAAATACTCTCCCAGAGACACCACTTTGAAAGACTAACCAACCTTTGTACAGACCTGGTTTCAGTTTATCCTTGAGGTATGGAACAAGTTTGTACTCTTTCAGCACAAGCTCCCAATCCAGATCTGGTAGGGTCAAGTTTGCAAGTGTTCCCAAGCATTCAATCACAAATTCTTCCTCTTCATCATTTGATATTTGAGCTGCCAAATCACCAACATAATCCTAACGAAAACACATCAGAAGGATAACAAGCATTAAAGGCAAACAATCTAGGGTTCTGAAGGATTCACAACTCAGTCAAATCAAAACTAGTTCTCAAACACTAAAGAGACTCTTCCCCTGAAACTAAGGCTAATATGGCAGTTTCACTTGCAGTTCAAAAATGACTCAAGATTTCAGTATTCTTCCTCAGTCTTTCACTTTTAAGGGGTATGAATAATTTATTCATATGTTCTAGAAGAAGCTACTACTGTATACACTGAAAGTTTCAGAAAGATTTAAGAGAATGAAGAAAGTGAATACCATACTTTGTTGGTGACAGCAATGATGTCACCTTCCTTAAAGATTTTGAAAAATGGCTACAAGGTTTTCAAATACAGGAGAGTCAAGAATTTTATTTACTATCCATACTGTTTTTAGACAATTTGATATTTAATTCTTACTTTAATTGTACATTTAATTTACACATTTAGGATGTTATGTCGTTCCCCCCCCCCTTTTTTTTTATAGCATCTAGAATATCAACACAAACCAATTAACCAAGTGAAGAAAAAAAGCTTCTATTTTGCCCACTAGCTATAAAAGCAGAGATACAGGATAACTTAATTGTTATGCACACTAGCAATTGTTTTTGTTCTGCTTGTTCATTTTGGAACAGCTTAAGATCTGTTTGTTTTCTCTATAGTGAGAAATCCTCCTAAAATAAAATATAAATACTCACCAACCCATGACACCTGTAAAGGAAAACTACAGCAGTCAGGCTTTTCCAGCAGGAAGAATCAGAGATCACAGGCAACAGACAGTACTTACAATAAACAGGTTTTTAGTAGGCCCATCGTGTTGTGAAATATTCCTGATCATCTTCATTAACAATGGGTCCTTAAATTTCAACGCTCTCTTCATGAGCATTTTCAAACCATTTCCTGAAAAGAAAATCACTTAGGAAGCCCTTCAAATTCAAGTCAGAAATATACTGGCCAAAAGGAAAAGAAAAGCAAAATAGCTTTAAAATTCAAAAGGAAAAAAGTGAAGAATCTGGACAGGAACTATTTCTTTTCCCAAGATGAAAAGATAGAACCTGCTCTGCACAAGTTCCATAGCTTCTCTAAAACAACAAACAGTTTGTAGTGGTGAGACATCTGACTTTCTGTCAGAAAAATAAGTACTTCAGGTGTGCTCAGTCACTTATTCAGATCAATAGAGGTTCTAGATCCAAATAATTATCCTATTATGTGTGGAGATGCAGCACAACTGTTGGTACCAGCTCAGGAATCATTCTCTTCACCCTAAAATATGTCATTACTGTTTTAGGAGACTATCTACCAGACATGTAACATGGGAATATACATACAGACACACAGATCTGATAGCATAGAGCAAGCTGCACTATCACAATCACATTTCCAAAAGATCACCTTGCCTGAAACTGTTATTGGCTCAAATTCTGTTTTTACATCTTTGATAAAAATTGGATCTCCCTTATCCTTCTTTTACAGAGCTACACAGAAAACTTTAAAGTGCTGTCCATAAAATCAATTGATTGCATTTTTCCCTTTTAACATCTAAAAACGTATTACAGTAGTCCATAGTGAAAATTCTGAGCACAAATGAAAAATTAGAGCTACTAAATAGCAGTTTGCCACTCCATAAATAAATATATATAAATAGCAGTGTGCCATTCTAAGCTGGGTAGAGAGCTACTACTCTAAGCTGCTAAAATGCAAATAATGGAACTTAAGGAGCAATTTAGAGAGCCACTAAACAAAATGCAGACATCCGTACCACTGAACAATATACTAGAATGCCAGAGATACACAACTAGAAAAAAAAAAGAATGGAAAGATGCAATTGAACATCACTGTGCTACTAATTGTGTACGTGTAGGTGAAACCCCAGTTAGCTGAAGGTGGATTTTAGGTATCAGGCTGAACAAAACCTTGATCTTTTCATACAACCATAATTTCCTAAAGTAATACTTATTTTATAGAATTGCATGAGAGATGTGGGCACAAGTGGCTACTCAGTGCCATCAAAACCAACACCGAGGAGGACATAGTCATATATTTGCAATCTCACCATAAGCAGGTGCATATATTTGTTTTAAATACACACATATATAAACACATATACAGAAATAAGTATTCGAGTTGTTTATGTTATCAGAATCTTTTCATCCCCCCCAAAACAGTAAAATCTCAGTATGTTCACCTTCACAGATAAGTTGCACGTTTCTTTTGTTAGCAGCAAGGTTAATACAGAAAGAAATAAGCTCCAGGTCAACTCTCTCATCAGGACACTCAAAGAGCATTTTCATCAGCTGCCAAGAAACACAAACACATTTAAGTCATTAATTTTTCCAAAGCAAAGAGCACTGTTATGTCAACTGTCATATTTTTAAGAACTCAACGTTTCCATAGGCACGGTAAAGTTACAGAAGCCAAAGGCATGGGATGTCTGCTTCTGTGATCTGGGGATAACAGTTCTTACAGAGTGCCAAAGATGGCAGTCACTCATCACCCTGTAACCAATTCAAGTTATTTTATTGCTACCACCGAATTCTTTGGTTTTCTGATATTTAAACTTGTGAGTGAATAATTTTTATTTGTTTTAACATTCAGGTAGATATAATACAAAATACAAGTTAATTCCCCAGAAAATACCACCTGGATGTTTAATAAAATCATGATTCCGTAAACAGATCAATTAATTGCAGAATGATCTACTGCTATTTTGCTTTCAGATTACTCTGCCTGTAGGCAAATTAGCTGCATTCTGTCTGCAGCAACGCACTTCACCTCTGCAGCTTTCACTGCTATAGCAGAACACTGCTGTCTACCAAAAACTTCTCATTAACAATCATGGTGTAATTTTTTGGTAATAGGAGGCAACAACCTGAGTTGATAAAAATAGATAATCGCCTACAACCCCGTTCAGACTGAAATTCCCAGATTCCTCAGGCACATAACCTTTACATTACTGTTATACACCCATCTGGTGCCTGTATAGTCCATTACATCTCAAGCTATCTCATCTGATTTTGTTCCATAAGAATGTTTTCTTTGAAATGGCACACTGAATACGTGAGCGTGACTCAAATACATCTGTCTCACTTCTTTGTTTCCAGTTGCAGCAGACAAGTTGCACTGCTTCCCCAACGTGGGGCTGCAGGACATCACCCTATTTGCTACTACAGCCTGCTCTGTTATAAGACATGGCAAGTTTGCAACGCACAGCAGTGTGATGACAACACTGAGATTACTGCAAGTAGAAACAACTGAAGCTAAAGATAAGTGGGACAGAAAATACAATATATTGAGCTCAACTTATCTCAAATAGGCATGGAAAGGAAAAGGCTGCAAGTAAACATTACATATTTGTGTGCTTGCCCCCTGGTGGCAAGACAGTTTGTAATACATTAAACACTAAAAAAAGTGAGTAAACAACTCATGTAGAGGGGAAAACTATAAAATTGGGAACAACAGGATTGCAGGAATTTTACTTTGAAATACTTTAATATCATAGGTTTACCTCTTACCAGATAGCATGCTGTCATCCCAAACAGACCCCAAATAAAGCCATATATATTTATGTTTCAACAACTACAAATCCCTTTTTCCTGAGACTTTCATGTACTGATTTAAAAGCCATCACTGATTTCTTCCTCCGTCTCTTAAAAGAAGTTGACTCAGATTTCCCCAGGTTCTTTTAAGAACTTATAAAGCCTCTACTTTATTAAATTTGTAAGCCTGACAGTCACACAAGAATGAATTAACCGGAGAAGAAAGTTGCCACTTAACAAGTGGAACACGAGTATTCCAAAATCACCCCCTGCGACTATTCTGTTACCAAACCTTTAAAAAGAGATTTTTTAAAACCCTTCAAGTAATTTGAAGGGAAACATTCTCATTACGTACACAATACAAAATCTGTGGAAATCAGATGTTTAACAAGAAGGAATTATACTGTTAATTACTGAGCTACTTCTCCATAAAAAGGAAAAATATATCCAGTTTCAATTAAAGTCGTTCAAATTTTAAAATAATAGTTTAGTACGAGCTCCATGTTTCCCATTATGTCTTCATTTAATTTGATTGCTTCTTGTGCCACTTCAAAAGGAAGAATAATTGCTGCCAAATAGGAAATATTAAAATTAAATTTGTTCTGCTTTTACTATGTCCATTGTCATCTTTTACTGATTTAACAGGAAGGCAGTAAAAAGACTGCAGCATGTGCAATGAAGAGGCAGTAGTGTTCAATCAGACAAGTCCCATATTGAGTATCAGATACCACAGACCAGGACTGAAATCACTGTGTCTAGACTCTCTGGCACCTGCCTTCACTTATTTACCAGTGACCAGAGGCCAACCCCCACAGCTCTCCGCTCACATACACCTCTGTCCAACCCCCTCCCCGAGCCCAGCTCAAACATCTTTGAATGATTATGCCAGAACTGCATGCCTCAGGAATCTTTTCTGACCGGCTACTCCCTAACTCTGCTGTTTGAAGTGATGCTCTGGTTTCTGAACTTCAGCAGATAATGGCGGACAGGAGCAAAGGGTGCTGTCAAGAGAGGACGTTTACCAGCATTAAGCTGAAAAGAAGCTTACAGATCAAAGAGGGGCCAAACAGGACAACCGTGGTGGAAAACATGTGGGTTGCTGCAGAGAACCTTGCGCACCGCTCTGCGGTACAATATTAAATATCACCATGACATCACTGCCTAACCATGCCCTTTGATTGGCCAGGTTATTACCAATAAATGCTTTTATAAGCATCTGGATGGCATTTGCACCTATTTAAACAAAACACGCATTGCTGAGGTCTAAACAAGAATGAACTGTTAATACTTGCTTTTAACTGTTACTAGAATAGCACCCACTAACTCCTACAATCCGCATGGATGTTTACCTGGGACAGCACATGCAAGCCTGTTAGGCACCTCACACGTACAGAATGACAACAAGGGATGGATTTCCCAATTGCTTTCCACAACAGCTAAACATTTGGTATTGAGTATTTGCCCACAGAAGGGCATATGCTGTTACTGAAAAGAGAATTCAGTTTTCCAGCATAGAATCAGATGACGAGAGCTTTTGAAAAGATTGTTTTCTTCTCTTGATGCCATACTAATCTCCCCTTGTTTCTACTGCTTGTTTTTGTTAATATTTGTCCTAATTTTCAACTTTCACCAGTAAAAAAGTGTGACTGTCCAGCTGGTCCTTTCTGAACAGTCTGCAGATGTGATCTGTGCATAATTACATCAAGCACTAAGGAATCAATAGCAACAGAAATCTTTCAAATTTTGTAGCTTTATCCAAAGTCTAATTAAGTCTGTGAGCTTGTTCCCTGTTCCACTCGGCTCTGAATAACGCCCTGCAAGCACTACTTTGAGCAGCCACTGCCAATCAGGACAATGAGGTTCACTAAAGCATATGATATCACTGAAGTTTCCAGAGCTCTTTACATTCGAAACTGGGAATCTAAGATGCAAGCCAAGATTTCCTGCAAGCATGAAATAAGCAAACATTGAAACACAGCACGTGAATTCATTTGGCAGGTGATCATTCAGAAAAAAATAAAAACGGGTCCTTTGTATCATGCAGATGTCAGAGCAAAGGGGCAGAAAAAGAAATCAGGATGTTTGCAAGAGGATTTGGCAACATACACTAGCTATTCCCACCACTTACCCTTTTCTCCAAAATCATCCTCTATTTGGAAAAATACCACAATTCTTGTCATGAAATGATGACCAGAAACATCCTGAAAATTTGCCATGGCAACTTCCTATTCTAGATGCATTTGATGTTAAAAACATGTTTGACAGGAAAAAAGATATTGTGGTGCAATTCTGCAAAGGCTACTAGAGAGCTTTCTACATTTAAGTAACACAAGCTTTCTCAACTCCAAACCTCACCAGGACTGGGAAAGAGGCTGGTAAGAGAGGATTCAGTGTTTAAAAACAACCAGCAAACGAAACACCACAACCCAAGACCAAAAGAAACACACAGAAAAATCCCTCCCAAAAACATGAAATTATGCCTGCGCGTGGGTGAGGGAATATTGCTAAAGAGAAAAAGTTATGAAAAAAACTCTAATCTGACAGATAGCTTGTTGTACATGTTTGCAGTTGGAAAGGAGTTGTCATGTGGCGACGTAACATTGCTTGGCAGTTTTCCAGTTCATATCCTGTAACACTGAAGACACTGAAATTTTGATACCCAATGGGATCAGAAAAGAATGCCTTCTAAAAAAGTAAAGGAAATACTTTCTATGGGGTTCCCTGTGGATTTACTGTGTACAATTTCTCATTTCTTTCAAGCATCTCCAATCTTTCCTAGAAATTCATCAGGTCACATGTATTGTTTACTAATTAATCAGTGTAGCTCTGTGGTCAGCAGCACTGACAAATAATATGTCACCCATTCTTTCTCTGAGGACCATCAAAACACAGCATGAATAGTCAAACTGCCCAACGGATAGGATGCTCACTACTGACTCAGCAGCATCCTGCCTGTTCCCACTCTCACCTGTGGGTGTCAGTGTGAGCTCTGCTATCAGTGAGGAAAAGATTTGCCCGTGGACAGATGCATCTTGCCACCTCATCATATACGAATGTACATACCTGTGGGATACAGTCCGTATACGCAAACATCGACTTGAAACGATCATCCATGCTTATGTGATATAGAATACACATAGCTACTTGCTTGTAGTTTTCATTTGCTAAAAGGAAAAAAATCCAAATGAATAAGGTTTGTGTTTTAGGTATCACTAACATTTAGAAGAGGGAAAAAATGAAAAGCACAATGATCCCAGTCAAGGGAAGGAACACTTAAAATAGGAATGCAGCATTAATGAAAGAATCCTAACTGATGTGTCAGAATGAACAATATATTCGTGTGACGAAGGAATAAAGAAAATGCCAACTACTACCCCTCTCCCCAACACCTCAAAGGAGTTCCTCAGTTCCTTTCAGAAAATCTGCGCCCTAGAAAGTGGAACACTTGATAACGATGGGCCACCCAGAGAAAGCCTTCATCAGATTCCAGCCAGGAAGTTAAATACCAAGTACAACACTGATGTAGCTGTGGATATTCCTGTTGAAACGACAAGGTTGTTTCAAAGCAAAATACCAAGGAATGCAGTGTCAGAGAAACAAGAACTATTACTCTAAAAAGTGCTGTAGAAGGAATCCAGTGCCTTTCAGGCAAATCACACACTGACTGTCTTACAATCTTAAACTGTGGGTATGCTTTACGTTCCAAACCTTTGAGAGAAAACAGCATATTTGCACATCTGTACTTCCCAAACAAAGGTTTAAAGAAAAACTATAGCAACCAACACAAGTAGGTTGTGAACTATTTAACAGAAAGATTCTAACAAAACAGCTTAGACAAACCTAAGAACGCTTCTTAAGAACAAGGCTGATGGTTTGATCCTGACTGCTGAAAGTTGGACTGAGCACTCTCTTGAGCTCTCCTCTAGCCCCACTTTGGCAGGACACTGGCTATCTATGGGATAACACACTCAACTGAAAGTTTAGGCCAGTCTGCAATCAAGTTTCAACTCAGAATTATTTCACAGTTCTGATGCAGCTGATCAGAAATACCTTACCTCCCACTTTAGCTTAAGCTAAGTTGAAATATCTCTCTAATGCTTTGGCAAAGCATCGAGATCTCAATCAGCAACCAACCCAGTTAATCATTTTTCTTCTCCATACATCACTGGAAACTGCAATTTCCTTTACGTACCAAAGATGTGATGACTTTATCCTGAGAATGCGCATTTGTGATGTCTTACAAAATTGAATTAGCAAGAAATAAACCACCACAAAACCCTTCTGGTAGTTGTTATACAACAGTGTTCTTTCCCATGCCAAATCTGAAAACACAGCTGACCTTTCAGCCCCTCCTAGCATTTTACCTGCTTTGAAAAACAAAAATCACCAATACTGACTTGCATTTCAGCCTTCTATGCACTTCACAGCTAAAGAAGACTTAAGGACCAACTTCGAAAGATGTTGAGACTATTATTAAAAGAAAAGTGCAGACGATACTAAAGCTTACAAATACTGCTTAAAGCAAACAGAACAAAGTGTTTACTCGCTTGTACTTCTCTGGTGACTTGTCATTTTGCCTACCTGTTCATCTGTAGTGACACTGTAAACCCAACAATTGCATGGAAAAAGAAACCCCAGACTACACATACAGCTGAAGTCTTCTCATAAGCAAATATAGAAATGTAAAGAGTAAACTATGCCCAGAAATTTCTTTAGGAAAAAGCTGTTTTCATAGGGAAAAATAGCTGTTTACACTGCTCTTAACACTTCTTTCCATGCCTCCATTTAAAACTCAAACATCAAGTTGCAAATTTAAGACTCAGATTACAATTACACTTTGCTGGGTAATGCAGGAAACACTATGTGAAGTAAAAGGCAAACTAGTAAAAATGTCAGAAAATTGGCTACCCAAAACAGTAACTTGGAAAACAGAGGGACATTGAGACAGACTTGCAGCAGGTATGAACTGGCAAGGCAGTCAACAAGAAGGGTTGAACCTCTCTATTTGATGGGGATTTTTCCCCCACCTTATTTTTGCAAATTGCATTTGTGCTAAGAGAAAGCCTTACATATGGTAGCATCCATAGTTTAATTTGGTAACACCGGTAGCTTGCTTTCAAATAAGACAGCTACTGTAACAGCCAAAGCCTTCCATTTTTTCAGGGGGGAAGACACTCTTCACATACTTCTCCCTCCTTGTTTCAAAAGTCCAGCATATTGTACTGTCATTTCTGATACTCATCTTTGGTATTGATGACACCACTGTCTCTATTTCTAGACTTCCAAAAATAATGAAAAAGACCTACACGTTCACCTGAAGTGTGAAAAACACCTAAAACTTAAATCATTTTATCTAAACTCACTCACCAGCACTTAAATCATTCTCCCAAAGTGTGTTCCATATGACAGATTTCATGACACACAAAAGGAAAAGACAGTCATAATTTTAAAAAGAAGAGCTGAATTTAAATTGTTTCTTGCTCCACAGTAAACTGACCCACCATCCCTGAATGCCCTTGTCCTACAGGCAGCTAAAGGAACATAGAGGGTTTGAGGGCACTCACAGGCACAGTAAGGAAGTACTTTTCAGTTGTGAATATGCAGGAAAAAAGCATGGATTTTCCTAACTTAAGGATGAGAACAAACCTCAGAATCTGAAGTGAAAAGAAAACAGGGTGCAACTAAACCAGCTTTTAAGGATTTAATGGTATGTGTTTTCTTTAACTTTCATTTCCCTTTTAATCTCTCAGAACACAATTTCAGACCAATTTCAAGAAGCTTCTGTCTCACTTGTGAAAGAACTTTGGTGGAGAAGCAGCAGAATCTTCTCACTTTCATCAGTCCTCTTGCAAAACAGCGGCAACTCCTGATCCAAACAATCAAATGCTTCAGGAAAATCAAGAGGACGTGGATGTTCTTTAGCACAGCCACTGTGATTTAATGCAACTGTTAATCCCCTGCTCAGCCAGAAAGCAAACAGCCTACTGGAAAGTTGATTGGAAACTGCATAATTACTATGTCTATACTTCAGTATAGAAGAGATTCAATAGCTCCAGTGCTACGAACACTAAGTATCACCTTAAGAAGTAACAGTCTGAAACAAATCCACCAATGAGCCAAGTGCCATCCTGTTACACAGAGACCTCATTCTCAAAAACATGAACTTACAGACACTGATTATTATTTAAATATGCCAGTACCGAAAATCACTTTTTTGTTTCCTGTTTTGTTTTATATTCACCTAAACGATGATAAATAAAGCTTTAAGTCAGTCACTGTTTAGAGACTTTAAAGACCTGCCCAGAGAACAGCCTTCCAAAACATGGGAGCAATATCTTTTCTGCTATTTGTGACTGCTACGAAAGGCCACACATGAAAAAGCAGACATTGTTAAGAGAGAATTCCCTATGACTTGGTACAGTAGGCACCAATTATTCTCCTAATCAGAAAAAGCAAGAAGGAGAAAAAGACTCTGCCAAACACTTTCATAAAAATCACCAAAGTTTTGGTGGGGTGCCAGAAAGTTGTGGCCTACAAATGCAAGCAGTTTTGAGCATCAAGCATTTTAGCACTGAAGGTGGAATAGCCAAATGGCCTAAAGCAGCAAGGGCAGCCCTGGAAAATAATGGTCTAGTCATTATGGATTCTTCTGGTATGTATGGCAATAAAACATGAATCATAATGAACTCATTGGATATTAAATGTAAGGGTCACAAGTACTTTGATAGGATTTCCAAAAGAATTTACCATTAATTAAGCAAATAATTATTTGAAAGCGTTACTGAATTATCCTTAGTTCTTACACAGCCATTCCAGAGAAATTGGTCATTCCCAGCTGAGTGCAGTTAATGCCTTAACAAACCGGTCATTAACTGCAGTTACTGATTTTGTGGGAATTATTGTGTTATAAAATACACTCAACAGTTTATAGAAACAATACTTAGATTTTTTTTTTTTTTTGCAGCTGTAGTTCAGCTGGAGCAGCTGGGATGGAAAAATCTCAGGTCCCTCGGGCTGTTTTCACAACTAGTTTTCTGCAAATTAGAGAGGGAAATAAATACACGATGGGTTCTGAGTTCAAAATGGCTTCAGATTTTTAGCCTTTGAACATTAATAAGAAGCCATGTGCCAGATCCACAGACCAGTGCCCGAATTCTACGTTGAGCTCTTACTAGGGTTAAAGATCGAATGGTACCAGTAGCTGAAGCTGAGAAGTGATGTCTTGATAACAAGATCTGGTCCTATGCTGTAGTGAGCTTAAAATAAAAGATCCTCCATTAGCTCCACAATAACAGAAGAGAAACCCTGAAGCTGTAAAACTGAAACAACAATTTGAGTTTCAGCAGCAGCATTCAACTTTCAAATGCTAATGTAACAATGAGAATATAAATTATGGGTTAAATTATTCAAATGTAAGAGTATCAGTAATTCAAGTAGCCATCATTTCTAATGGACTCATCAATGCAGCAACATTAGATGTGACATATGCCCCATTCAACTCACATGCAAAACATTAACTGCACTAAAATCAAAACCAGAACTCAAAAGAAGGTAAGTCTCTATTAAAATAGCAGAGTGAATCTTCATTTCAGTTTCAAACTCTGATACTTTTAAGTCAAATCTGTTGCAATATTATACAAGTAAGAAATATAAGCAGATACAAATGTAGCAAACTAAACATAGCACCTACATACCATCTTACACTGCTGCCAGAAAAGCACATTTACATTTAAGAGGAGCATATTCATGTGCATTAAAATTAGCAAGGAAGGAATTATGCCTTCATGATAGAAAGGTATCACAACTTCCCTCTGTCTAATATTATTCCTTGCAAGCAGCACTGAAACAGTTGGAATAAGTCACTCCACGTGTGGTTTAGACACATATTGGTTTGATTTACATATGTAAATATAAATCTTATTGAATATATCAGTTTATTTTATCAAGAGAACCTTAAAGACTTTGCAAATCTGCTCATACTCAGAAAGACTAGGCTATGTAAATAATGTTATTAATTACCTACTAATAACCCTTCTTGTATCACCTCTATTATGTTTGAAATTGGCTTCCTACCACAAGCCTAACTTAAAATACACATTTTTCTCTGTTTTCCTTCCTCAAAGCAGCAAGCACATGCACACATCTGAAATACGGATATACTTAT